AGGATGTTGTTTAACAACTTTTCACAAGCCGACCCTGACTTTCAGGAAATGAAACGAAAACGGCAGAAATATCAATCTGAAGATCCACAATCTTGTATATAAAAGGAACGCTGCTCTTTTGAGGTTATCATTTTCACTGCAAAGTCCAGATTGCCCAATAGACCAGCAAAACCAATTTTAGGGGGTTAGGTTCCAACAGGTCTCTGGTTTTAAGGGAGTTAAGTCTATGTTGATGGTACAGGGGAAGAGGTTATAAAAATGAATTTAGAGTTTTCCCACACAAGGCGTTCTCTGCCATGGTGGCTACATATGTCAACACCAGGACGTCTCTCCTAGGCCAAGAGGAGACTTTCTAAATTGTCAGGGAAAGATGTTTTCCATCACTATTATCAATCCAGCTTAGGAGACATTTTGTTAGTGACACATGTTCCTTTCCCCCCAAAACAATGAAGTGTTCTGTGTGCTAACAACATAGCTTAAAAAAAAAAAGTAAAACAAAATTCTGCATTTTTATAAAACTTGATAAAAAATAGTATTTCAAACTGTACAGTCACCAGAAGTACACAGTTATCAAAAATGCACACATTTTCACTTGGCATCTCCAGCACCTTCAGCTTTTTGTGCCTAAAAGAAAAACAGGTAAAGTCAACATATAAAAATTGATCTTCGCTTATAGTCTATACATGGTATCACTCACAATAAAAGTCTAGGTTTTGGACACTTAAACCAAGACCGCAGTATACTTCGAGAATGATACAGTGGTCACCTTTACTAAATCTGCCCCCTCCACTAAGACACCAGGTCACTTCCAGCTTTAAAATTTCACGGTACAGCACGGAGTGACACTTCAGAACAAGCCAATACAGCAGTGCCTTTTAGATTATAACAGATTTTTAGAACTGAAGATTTTTGGACAGGAAGAAAATCACATTACACCCAGAGCGATCCAGGTATAATAAGGCAATTTCGGGACTGAGGCTGAGTGCACACTTAATGAAGATCTAGCTCTAACTGTACCTGGTCTGTTTTGGCGTCTCCATTTTCTGCAGGATTATTTGCATCCTTGCCAGCATCTGCTTTCCCCTTCTTCCCCTTGGGTACCTTCTCTCCCTTCTAAAACCAAGGAAGGATGGATACAAGTTTTTTATTTTGTATACCTGGAGATAACCTACCAAGCTACAAAGCAGACTTGGCTACTGGATAACACCCCCAGCTCCCAACTAAATTATAACTCGTGGTCCTCAGCATACAGTCATTTAAATATGGCTTATAGGCTACATTAGCTAGAAACCCTTGTTTTAACAGTCAAGTGTAGTTTTTTGTAATTCGTGCCAAATATCAGAAATGAAGCTATAGAAATAACTTGCAGCATCCACTAATACAGTCACCATTATGTTGAATTAGGTTAAGGAGGTGAAGGACAGTTTTCTTTCTGTGAAAAAAAAAAAAAATCACCAAACTAGTATTAGCACCGGTCTCTGGGTCCCGCTTACCTTTGCAGGGGCCTTTTTAGGCTTGGGCTCTGGCTTTGGAGGAGCAGGTTTCTTATTTTGGCAGGCAGAGGAGAAGAAGAAACTGTTAGCATGATGGACCAAAAGAAGCAACCCACCACACCACAGCCGGATGCTCCCATCATTTGGTATTGCCTTTTTTTTTTAATAGTCTTAAAGCGACTTTCCACCTTGGTCATTACCATCAAGGCTTAAGACAACAATAACGTCCAGATGTGCAACACCACAAGGTAACTGACTCCAAACCAGATACAAACTATAATTCAATGAGACCAAAGGGATCCCCAAAACGTTTCCCAACCTCAGCATAAGCATGAGGAATTCAAAATACACACTTACAGCAGACAACCTTGCAGATCTTCTCTGTGGCTGTTAAAATAAAAACCAAGTCAGAAAAATAAGCATGAGTTTCACACCAGTTTCTTCCCCACATAAAAAGAAAGCAAATAATTAAACTCTAGGGCAACTTCCAGACCGGGGCTGTGGTCAAATACTACCAAAGGAGCCCTGTGCGACAAGCCCTATATGGACAACACTCACCTCGTCCTTCACCTTGGCTTTATCTCCTTTAGTATCCCCTTCAGCCTATAAAAAGATGAAAGGCCAACATTTGTTACCTCGGAGATGTAAATCGCAGTCATCGGGAACTTAACAGAAAGCGACACCACGTTCCTAAGACGTATCCATTCAGGTTCTCTTAAAAGTAGCTTTAGTCGGGATCGAGCCCAACTGAAGCCCGAGGCGCGCACGGAGGACCCCGCGGGTTGGCAGCAAAGCGCGGGAGAAGCTGGAGCATGGCCGGGAAGCAGCCCGGCGCCACCAGCCAGGCAGGAGCAACAGCTGCAGATTGTGCAAACAAACCACTCCGGAGGCGGAGCCCAGGGCCGTTGCTATGGCAGCCGTCGAGGGCGGGAGCTCGGGGAACTCGTGGGCGGCAGCGCGCGGCCTCTGCGCCGAGAACGTGGGCGGCCGGGGGCGGAGCCACGACGAGATCCCGCCCCTCGCGGCGGCGGCAGTTTTTTGGCGGCAGCGCGCTCCCCCGCCCGCCCAGCCGAGCGCCGCCTTCCCGCCCTTTCGGGTTTGAATCGCCCGCTCGCTCGCCCGCCCGGAGGAGGGGAGGGGGCTGTCGGTGGGGGAGGGGGCGCGGGCGGCAGAGGAGAGCGGGGTAAACAGCTGCCAACATGGCTCCTCCCGTCTTTGCAGCCGCCGCTCCTCCAATATGGCTTCTGGCGCCCGCGGGCAACGCGCCGCGCAGGATTCGCCTGCGGCCCGACTCGGGCTGGAACCCCGCGCCGCGCCCGCTCTACCCGCCGAGTTCCGAGCTCGAGGCGAGCGGTGGAAGTGGCGGCGCCCGGGGTCCCGCGCGCTCGCGCCACGTACCTTTCTTTTGGGCATGGCGGCGGCGGGGGACGTCGGCGCTGAACGCGGGGATGCAGCGGTGCGCGGGTTTGGTCCGTCCGGGGGGTCGTTCTCGCTGCTTCTTCACACTGCTCGGGCTCCGGGGGGTTTATAAAGTTTTTATAGCGCTGGGAGCCCCGGACCGGTTAGAACCGGATTTCACCTCCCGTCGCCGCTCATTGGCCCAGCTGGGGTCACGTGGGCGGGGTTTAAACTCACCTCCTCTGGAGTGAGGAGGGGGTGTAGGGGGAGGGGGAGCGAGACGGCGGCGCGCCTTGGGGGAGGGGGGCGCGGTGGGGGAGGCGCGCATTGGAGGCAGTAAATGAGGGGTGCGCGAGGCGGCGGGCTTCGGGTTCCGCTCCCGCCCGAGCTGGCTTTTGCAAACTACCAAGTTCCTTCCACCTTATGCAACCCTGCTACCCACTTCTCCAAGCCGTGCGACACTGGGCACATCTCCGCTTTCCTTCCTGCTCCCGCTGGGGGCCCCAGAAGAGGGGATTGCGAGGCCTGGCCGCGCTGCCAGCTCCGTAGGCGACGGGAGGCGCGCCGCTTCAGGCGCGGGCCGCAGCTCCAGGGGCCACGGGCTCTAGTGGGAAGAGAGCGAGGAAGCTAGCTTGGCGCAGTCGGAGGCACATCCTTCCGAGCTGCCTGCCACCTTGGGGAATCCCTCCGTGCGCCTCACCTGGAAAGCAGTCCAGGAGATGGGGGCGTGGGCTTGAAGTGGAGACTTTCCACACAGGGGTGCCTTTCGGGTACGGCGGGGCAGGTAGGAGCTGTCCTTTCAGCACCTACTGCTCAATCGCCTCCCCAAACGCTCAACAGCCCCCCAACATCGATCGGGTGGCTTCCTTAAGTCCCTGCACGTCCGGCCCCTTGGACCCCGTCACAGAATGGTGGAGAAAAGCCGCCAACACGATCCGCGAGCGCTCCCCTCCCCCTAAGCCCTCTGGGTCTCGGATACAGCCAACCCAGCTGCCCCCACTCGACAGAGGCCACCAAACCTGGGCTTTGCAGATGCCACAGCTGGCGAAATCCCTCCCAACACAGTATCAAACCGGCTTGCTCCCGCTTGCATGAGGAAAAAGCCCTTGAAGGAAAGCGCCGGAAGATTAGGAAACAAGTAGATGAACAGGTGTGATGGCCAAGGGGCCCTTCCGGTGCACCCCAGCCCGAAGCCCAGCGATCTAGAGCCAGCCAAGCGCACGAGGGAGGGTGCCAAGCGCAGAAGCAAAGCGTTCTTTCGATAGTTACTAAACAAATCTTACATCTAAGATTTTTTTTGAAAATTCTATTTGATACCCAGAACACAACCAGCTAAACATCTGCAACAGGGTGTTTGGCGCTTGGGTGGAAGAGACATAAACAGGTCCCACTTTGTTTTTTTGAGGCAAGGGTTGAAGCTAGTTTGCACCAGCCATACCAGCAGAAGTCAAACATTCAAATCAGCCTTTGCTTCTGGGCAGCAATGGTTCTGCTTCTTCGTTCCACTCCCAGTGCCTCCTGAGACAGCCCTCACCCCCGCCCGCTCCACCCTGTGCACCTTTCCCAGAATACAGGTCCCCAGGCTGGAAGATACCTTCCCCATTAATCACCTGTACTGTACTCCAATCGTAAGAGGAAGTCAGCCAGGACTCAGCAGCCATGCTTGCTGGGCAGACTTCGTTTGCTGCCTCCAGCCTCTCATTCCCGCCTTAATTGTAGGGCTCTGCATTATAGCCACATAATTCATGCCTCCCTAATTAAAGCTGTCAACAGCCTCATTGTAAAGCTGGAAAATGTACAGCACCTGCTCTTGGGGAACTCTGTGCCAGGGATTGGTTTTGGGAAGTGCCAGGTGTATAGGGGGCCTTGCCAAAGGGCGCATTGATTGGCTTTTGGTTGCAGTGTCACGATTTCATCCTTGATTCTGAAGAATGATGGCCAAAAGGTCACCAGTGACATATCTAGGCACAAAACGAGTGTTGTGGGCAAGGCCTAGAAAGTCAGGAAAGAGCACATCTAACGAGGCTGAAATAGCCTACCCACCTCTTCTGGGAGGGAGGGAGCTGGGGAAGGGGCTCACAAGACAGAATGAGAAAACCAAGAGTAGCATTTGGTCAGCGTTCCTGGCTAGTTTTACTGCTCTGGGGGCACCTGAAGTGGAATAGCTCTGCAGACCTTTCTTCAAAGGTAGTGATCTCTCCTCAGCTCTATGGGTAGGCAGGGAACGGATAGGATCTTGTCTCTTCCTGAAAGGCAGTGCTGGCCCTCACAGGCTGAGAGCCTAGAGTTAAGTTCTGCCATGATGAGAGTAAATTGTCTCAGGACCTACTTAGCGAGTCAGGTCAAAGAGCTGTGAGGAGCCTTGAAGATTGGGAGTGGAAATCAATTTGAGTTGGCAAGGGAAGGGGACAGTCAATCAGGAAATGCTTGGTTCTGTTCAGTCCTGATGTGTTACAAGTTGGCCTGTGTTGGATTAGACTCTAGGAGCTCTGCAGGCCCTTCTGCTACCCTGTAGCCATGGAGGGGTTGGGTCTCACTGGGGAGTGGAGTCTGGCCCCATGCCCTGCAGGGGGAGTAAGCCTGTGTGGGCTGAGTCAACAATAGGTAATTGGATTGTAATCACCCGCCTGGCTTCCGTGAGCCATTGGGGGCGCTGAGCCTTTCAGTGAGCAGTCTGTACTGGTGGGAGGGGTGGAGATTCAATAGCAAATCCCAGGTGGAGAGCCAAGGGGAGGAGCAGCAGATGGGCAAATTTTCTTCCTGTCCTTCCCACTCCGTTCTTCCCTGCCCTGCAATGCTGGCTGCCTATCGGTTATTTACCAGTAGACTCAAATCTTTTGTGAAGTCAACATGGTGGGGGCTCCGGCAGGATGGGCAAAGGCCTAGGTTTTGTGAAGACCTCTTCTGCGTGTTGAAGGATATGGTAGCAGAAAAAGAGCGTGTATCCAAAAACAGGGACAGGAAACACAGCTGATGAGTTAGGATCCCCTGATCTCCAGATTATCAGTGACTGCTCTTGGACTTAGTGGAAGCATGGGAGACTGTCCCTCAAACTCCAGGGAGTCTGTCTATAGGCAGTAGGCCTTGCCTTTGGGACTGCCTGCAAAGCAAAGGAAGCACAAGTCATCAAAAACAGGGAGGTGCCTTTCACCAAGAAAAGAAAAGCTTGGGGCCCATGAGGCAGAGGGCAGGGCAAAGTGGCCAGTAGCCAGCCTCACTTAGGCAGGTGCAGTGCTCAAAAGTGCCAGCCAGTCGGCCCGTTTAAGTTCCAAGGCCTGCAGGAAGCCTTGGACTCGCTCTTCCCGTTTGGCGGAGAGTTTGTGCAAGCGTGTCCGTCGGAGTTGGGCATCCGCACTGGCCTGGAGCCCCTCACGAAGCAGCTGCTCTGTCACTGCAGCCTGGTCCCTCTCCAGCTGGTGTCTCTTCCGCTCCTCAGCATACGTGTCTCGGGCCTTCTGCTAGAGAAAAGGGGTTGGGGTAGGGAGTTAGTTTTGGGTGTGAGTGGAGAGGGATGGAGAAGATGGGGGAGCAGGGCGCAGAGTGGCCAAGTATACTAACTCTGCAGAGTTTCTGCCAGTGTGGAAAGACAGTGGATGGCATCCGTGTCACACAGTCAAGACAGCAGCAGTCTGTCTTGGCTTGTTTTGTGTGGAAATATCTGTATTAAAATTCTTTCAAGCTTACATTGGAAACAGGTAAATAGTCTGACTTTTGATTCTCTATAGCTGTGGGAAGATGCTCCCCAGCTATATATTTTTTAATTCATTTGTAAAGTGGGGGCTGTGCCTACCTTGAAGAGAGATTTAAGGGATTAGGGATAATAAATGCAAAACCCACTCTAACATATTAGCAGACAGAGAAACTGGGATTTTACGTGCTGCTGTCTACTGTCTGAGACACATTCACTGGGTCTTCTTATGGTCCCTATGTCAGTGCGAGATGCGGTTCTCCAACCCCATATCCATTCTCCAGGGTCCAGCTCTAGACTGGCCTCCTATAAGGAAGACAGGCTTGACTCTCTGAGCAAAGGCCTCCCAGGAACGCAGAGAAGCCAACTCAACTCTCTTAAGCCCCTTACTGCTGCCTAGACCACGTATTAGTCTATAGTCCGCTCTTTCTTTTGGAAAAGAAACCCCTTCATGGCTCCAGAGCCACCAGGGCCCCTGGAATTAATTCTGACAGCTGGTGTGATCGGAGTCTCGGTAGTACCTCTCAGACCATGCATACATCTTCTGATGACGGTGACAAACTTTTTAAAGGGCAGTGATGACCTTTCCTCTCCAGCACTTGGAGCACTCTGCATATGAAGTGCTCACTCACTTGACCATATGATCACAAGAGGACAGGACGCGTGCTTGTGGCAAAAGTAGGAAATCCCTTTGGAACAGAAGGGGCTGGCTTGTTTCATGGACTTTTCCTGCCAATCTATTTGGCCTACAGAGTTTTGGCAGCAGAAGTTCTGCCAAATCTATCCCACGAGTGGGCAACCTGGAGTGTTTTTTTTTTTGAGACAGAGTTCTACTATGTTATGCAGATTTCTGCCTCCCAAGTCACTGGGACTATAAGCACTACACTGACCAGTGAGCAATAGGGTTTTCCTATATATAGGATGTCTATACGTATGTCATATCTGGTATGTCCATATCCAGCACTGTGTTATAGTACGTTGTGTTCAAGTCTTGTCCTAATCAGTCTATAAGCTCTGACTGCCTTGTCTTCACACTTTTTTGTTGTTATTTTTGAGACAGTATTTCTCTGTGTAGCACTGGCTGTTCTGAAACTCACTGGCCTTGAACTCAGTGTGCTGGAATTACAGGCATGCGCCACCACCGTCCAGCTCTTGTCTTCACTCTAGAAGCACCCTACATGTTATGCTCACAACCACTGCATCCATTGTTTCACTGACCTTCAAAATGGAGCTGTGAGCAGGCCAGGTGTGGTGGCACATGTCTGTGATTCCAGCACCTAAGAGACAGAGGCAGGTGGGTCTCCAAGTCCTAGGCTACCCTAGTTTACAGTGACCAGGACAGCCAGAGCTACATAACAGGGAGACCCTGTCTCAAAACACCAAAACACATCCCCTCAAAAACCAAACAAATAAATTACTTGTGTGTGTAGGTGGGGACGGGCAGCGGTGGCTGCTCAAGTTGGATCCCTGAAACTTACTGGCCTTCCAAGCTAGCAAAATAGATGACTTCACCTTTAGTGAGAGATCCTGTCTTGCTGGCAAAATGCATCAGTAGGGAAAGGTGCTAATTAAGCCTGACAACATAAATTCAATCCCTGAACCCATGCAGAGGTGGAGGGAGAGATGGCTATGGTGGCCACACTTTTAATCCTAGCAGTCAGGAAGCAGGAGCAGGCAGATTTCTCTGAGTTTGAAGCTATCCTGGTCTATAGAGGGAATGGCAGACTAGCCCAACCTTCATTGTGAGTTCCAGACCCTGTCTCAAAAAACAATAACAAAACAATAAAGAAGCTGCAAAGGGAAACCTAACTCCACAAAGTTGTCCTATGACCTCCACATACATACAGTGGGACACTGTGTCTACCCACATTACACTTAAACACATACACTAATAATAAATAAAAGATGGAGAAGGATCAAGGAAAGATACGCGATGTATACTTACAGATATACACAAACAAGTACATACATACATACACTAGCCATACAAATAAAGCCGCATGAATTTTCTCAGGTCAGAATGAATTTGCTTGAAGTCCTGAAATTGAAGAAATTCATGTCCAAAAGACTCTCACCTTTCAAAGACTATATTTCTTCTTTCTTTAAAAAAAGTATTTTTATTATTTTTCTAATTGTGTGTGTGTGAGAAAGACAGAGGCAGAGAGAGAGAACATGAGTACAGGTGCCCACAGAGACCAGAAACACTGGCTTTCCCTCAGAGCAGAAGGTACAGGTGGTTATGAGCCCTGTGAGTGCTAGAAACTGGCTTTCATCCCTTGGAAGAGCAGGAAACCTGTTTAATATCTGAGTCATTTTTCCTATTTTCCTTTCTTTTTTCAAGTAAACCTTTTATTTCTAAGAAAAAACATAAATTGCCCATATCACATACAAGTAGTTTAAGAGTAACCCTAGTTGGGCACTCAGGAGGCAGAGATAGGTGGATCTCTGTGAGTTTGAGGCCAATGTGGTCTTGGTCTATAAAGGGAGTTCTAGCACAGCCAGGGTTACACAGACAGTATCTCAAAAACCACAAATAGGGCTGGAGAGATGGCTCAGTGGTTAAGAGCACTGACTGTTCTTCCAGAGGCCCTGAGTTCAATTCCCGGCAATCACACGGTGGCTCACAACTACCTTGAATGAAGATCTGGTGCCCTCTGCTGGCATGTAGGCAAAAGACTGTATAGACAATAAATAAATAAAGTATTTAAAACAAAACAAAACAAAACAAAAAACCCACAAATAATCCTGAGCATTCTATCTCATAGTGTGTGTGTGCTCTTAACCACTGAGCCTGCCCTCAGTCCTGTACTCAGATTTTTTTTTAAAGATTTATTTTATTGATTCATCACATATACAGTGTTCTGCCTACATGCCAGAAGAGGGCACCAGATTGAATTGTAGATGGTCGTGAGCCACCATGTGGTTGCTGGGAGTTGAACTCAGGACTCCTGGAAGAGCAGTCAGTGATCTTAACCTCTGAGCCATCTCTCCAGCCCCTGTACTCAGATTGTTATATGGGACCAAATTCACATGCTTGCACTGTAAGCACTTTGCCAGCTCTCTTTAGGCCGCCCACCTTTTTTCTTTCTTTTTTGTTTGGTTTGTTTTTAGATGGAGTTTTACTATTTAACCCAGGCTGCCTTCAAGCAGATGGCAATCTTGCTACCTCTGACTCCCTGGTCCAGGGTGGAAGGTGTGTACCACCACGTCTAGGGATCAGAAGTACTAAAGGTAGTGTCTCTCATGAGCATATGTAATGTGCTGTGTAACTAACAATCAAAGGAACATTCTCTGAGACAGGGTCTCATATGTAGCTGGGGATGACCCTATATTCCTGGTTCCTCCTGCTTTTACCTCCCACCCCCTTATTAAGAGCTCTGATTCTTTTAGAGACCTTCCTGCAGGTCTAGGCAATCTTGCGCAAAGGCTCTGAGGTCACTCTGAGAAATGGTATTGGGCCTCTCTGCTCTTCCACCCTCAGAAGACACAAAGAACAAGATGGAGCAAAGCCTTGAGTTCTTTACCACTTTATTGGGGCCTGGGCTTCAAAACATTTATGAAGGGCTGGACAGGGAGAGTCAGTAATAACATCTCTTTAAAAAGAAAAAAGTCATAAGGGGTAGTAGTGACACATGCCTTTTCCCAGCACTAAGAAGGCAGAGGCAGAAGCCAGCCTGGTCTACAGAACCAGTTCAAGGACAGCCAGGGCTACACAGAGAAATCCCATCTCAAACACATTCCCCTAAGTCGGGCATTGGTGGCGTACACCTTTAATCCCAGCACTTGGGAGGCAGAGGCAGGCGGATCTCTGTGAGTTCAAGACCAGCCTAGTCTACAAGACCTAGTTCCAGTTCCAGGACAGCCTCCAAAGCCACAGAGAAACCCTGTCTCAACAAAACATAACTACAACAACAACAAAAAAAAAAAAGAAAAGAAAAGAAAAAAAAAGAAGAGGCCTAATTTAATTGCCTGTGGCTGGTTTCCCCCTCCTCCCAGGATCCCCAGACCTGAGCTGGACACCTTGGGTCGCCTCTACATCATCACACCTGTCATCACACTGTATATTTTTTATTGCCTACTCCAGCTGAAAATCTCCTTACATTTGTTTGCTTGTTTACTGCCTGTCGATTCAACTAAAAATATAAGCTCCATGAGAGCTGGGTAACTGCTGGTTCTCCTATGCCTAACAGCCTGACTCATACCAGGGATTCTTAAATAAACGTTAATGGAAAAGATAGAACCTGTGGCAAATCGTCTACAAACAATGTGCAAAGCACAGAAAAACTTGAAATAATAAAAGACTTCTGGGAATTCAAATTATAGGACTACACACAAAAATATCCATACACGGAAGGCTCACACCCCAGGCTCTCTGGGCATCACAGAGTTAGTTTACTCTCCCGTTACATACACACAACTGTACTGTGCATAGTTACCTGCCTTCTTTCCTATAGTTGATTTAAAACAGTAAACAGGAAGGAAAGGGAAGGGGGGATGCTGTCAAAATTAGTCACCGACACAGCAGAAGACAAAAGAGGAAGGACTTAGAAAATTATACAAGACGTCTCAAAGCCAGATCTTTGGGGACCATGTAGCTTCACGTCAACAGTCTTACTTTTCAAAGGCATCGAGGTACAATGACATGCTTGAGACAGTAGTTACTGTCTTTTCATTTGTTCTAAGCTGTCTGGTTCAAATTACTCATATTTTGAGACTCAATAAAATTCTCATAATTCAAGAAACTAAAGCCAGGAGTTCAGAACGGGGTTCCTGGACAGATTTTAGGGATTCTGTGAACCCCGAAAGTATTCCACGTAGCTGAGTGTAGGTACAATCCTATGGAGAGTAGACCTGGTTTTCATCGGACATGTTCTTTGGTTTTCATTAGGTTTCCAAAAAGGGCCCTAAGAGCAACAGGACTCGGGGCTTACATCATTCCTTTTTCCTGGTCATTATCTTCCAGACTTAAGAAACAGCAAATTTCAAAATTCAGGTTCCTAGCTCTGTGGCCTTGGCACAGTTAGTCTCTCTGTCCCTGTTTTCATATCTGAAAAATGAGGACACCAAATCTGTTACATTTAGGGAGGGTTAAATAGATAATATACAAGAACCACCAGGACTGGAGAAATGGCTGTGGTTAAGAGCACTGGCTCCTCTTCCAGAGACTCATGCTCAATTCCCAGCTCCCACATGGCAGCTCACGACTGTCTGTAACTCTAGCCCCAGGGGATCTGACCCTCCCACTGATATAAAAAAAGAACTGCCGGACATTGGTGGCTCACGCCTTTTAATCCCAGCATTCGGGAGGCAGAGGCAGGCAGAGCTCTGTGAGTTCAAGGCCAGTCTAGTCTACAGAGCGAGTTCCAGGAAAGGCTCCAAAGCAATACGGAGAAACCCTGTCTCGAAAAACAAACAAACGAACGAACCAGCAGAGCCTCTCCATGGACAGAGCACCCAAGGAGACTGCTGATGGCAGAAAGACAAGGCTGGCTGCTCATGAGTGCTTCTGGAAGATGCTGGGTCTGCAGGCTTCCACTGTCACACAATGTATTACTGGCCTTGTGAAATCCTCCTGCCTCAGCCTCCCACTAGCTAGTAGGACAGGTGGGTGTCAGCAATGACTTTGTCTAACATATTTAGAGACCACTGGACAATCTGAATTGCTTTTTCCTGTGTCTTTAGGACATCTTACACCACATTGGTCCCTACACAATATTTTTTTTCCTTTCCTTCCCTTTTTTTTTTTGAGGCCAGGCCCTGGCTGGCCTCTGCCCCTGCTTCTTGAGTGCTAGGATTAAAAGCCTATAGAACCATGACCCGGTCTTTTTTCCTCCGTTCACTCAATTGTACATGAGAGGCTAAGAAGACCTTCCTGACTGAGTTCCTAGGAGCAGTAATGAGTAAGGCGCTGCACGTGGAAACCATGCAGACTGAAACAGCGTAGGGTCAGTGGGCGGTAGCATTACAACTGTACTGACTATCATTATGCTTGCCAAGAAGTGTTTGGTGTGCTGGAAAGATGGCTCAGTGGGTAAAGGCATTTGTCACCAAGTCTGACAACCTGAGTTCAATTCTTAAGTCCCACATGAAGGAGAGAACTAACTTCTAAAAGCTGTCTTCACATGCACTGCGGCACACACAGGCATTAACTATGGTACATCTATGCAAACAAACACATACACAAATAAATAAATACAATAAATTTTTTTAAGTACATAGCAAGATATAGTGCAAGGTGGGTGTGTCAAAGCCAACCTCTTTATATCCCATCCTACCCAACTCGTACCTGAAGTGCACTATGGTTCATCTGAAACTGCAGGATCGCCTCACAGAGGTTCCAAAATGTGTATTCTGGCCACAGAACAGGCTGGAACACCAGGCAGGAATGGGAAGTCTGGTAAAAATAAGGAAGAGAGTATGAGTTAGTCACACCCATGGAACTGCACTGCTGGTCATTCCTCCAATGGAGGGGCAGGCTGAGTGGGGAAAGATCTAGAAACATGATGGCCCAGGTTTCCAGAGCTCTGGATGTTTTCTGTGGCCAGCCCATTTCCCTCATTGTTGGAAGAGGGATCACCTGCCTGTGGCAAAGCAAAACTAGACAAGATACATGTTTCTACCGGGTCTTTCCCTCTTTTCTTTTTTGTTTGAGATAAAGTCTCACTGTGTAGCAACGGCTGAAATGGAATTCAATGTGTAGAATTCACATTGTTCTGCCTGATTCCCGAGATCTAGGATCAAAGGCCTGTGCCACCAAACCCAGCTCTACTGTGTCTCTAAAGTCAATTTTAGGACACTGAAATAGCATCTGGATTATGTTATTGTCTCTTGGAGGTCATCTGAGATGCACACAGTCTGATGAAGTCAGCCAGGACAAATGGTAGCTGCTCTCGTTATCTTAAGTAGCAATAGTGTGATACCATGTTTAAGCCCGTGGACTCTGGAGACAAACTGCCCATGTCTACCATTACCATTGCACTGACTGAATTATTTAACCTCTCTGGGCCTCCGCTTCTTCAAGTATAAAGGTAGATCACACTGAGAGTCTGGTTTTACAGATCTATGAAGATTAAATGTGCATGAAGGAGAGCACAGGACAGCGTGAACAGGAACTATCATCATTACAACTAAGTTACCCCCAGTCCCAAATATTCCTGATAGCCACTGCTTACTGTCTGCTGCATTGAATAACCAACTGTGTCACAGAGGACAGCTTGTTTGCTATTCTAGACCAATGTCACCTTCCCTTAAGTTGCTACCAAGATACTAAACACTTTCTCTGGAACAGGAGGAAGTACTCATCCCCCACCCCCACCCTCCCACAGGGTTTCTCTGTGTAGCACTGGCTGTCCTGGAACTCACTCTACAGATCAGGATGTCCTCAAACTCATAGAGACCCATCTGCCTCTGCCTCCCAAGTGCTCAGATTAAAGGTGTGTACCACCACCACCTAGCTGAGAACCATTTAGAATACACTGTATTTCCTTCAAGATATCCAAAAACATTTTCAGTAGCTGTCTATTTTCAATAGCTTGGCTATTGTTCCTCAAGATATGGGATCTTTCTCTTATACTGGGGCTTGCAGATCAGAGCTCCAGGGATCCTTGTGCCTCTACTTTCCAATTGAGATTCTGAGTGTGCATCATCACAGCAAACTTTTTATATGGGTGCCCAGGCTCAAATTCAGGTTGTCATGCTTATGCACCAAGTCTTAACGAATGCACTATCTTCCTAGCATTCGTTTTGTTTTTCAAGACAGGGTTTCTCTGTGAATCAGGCCAGTCCTGGCTGTCCTAGAACTCACTTTGTAGATCAGACTGGCCTCAAACCCAGAGAGATCTATCTGCCTCTGCCTCCTGAATGCTGGGATTATAGATGTGTGTCATGATGCAGAGATTTTTAAACAATCAATAGTCCTAACTAAATTGGAACTTTTAGGGACTACCCATGCTAGAATAACTGAGCAAAAAGGCAACAGTAAGCCTGAGAGTTTGGATACAGTTTAAGTTTCATGAAATATGCCTGCAGAGATATAATCCATGTCCTAAAGAGGAGACTATTAACAGAAAGGTAAGGTTATTTGCCATGCTAGAGTGATTGCCAGGTTAATTAAGGTTTCAAGGGCCTGTTCCTTCAAAGGGGGCATATGTGAAGTTTTCATTAGGGTAGGATGGCTTTGCTTTCTCTTTAGGACAAAAGTCTTGTACTTCAGATAGCAAGAAATGCTTTACACACCCAGGGTCAGGTGAGGAATGAGAAGTAAGCGTTACCAGGCACAGCCTAGAGGTGTTGCTCTAGACGCTAGCCCTCTGTCCCTACTCATACAATGGTGCTGAAGTGGAGTGAATCACTCTCATTCATGGTGTGGGTACAGTTCTTGGGTTCAGTCCAATGCCAAAATAACATGCTGCTACACGACTTACCTGCCAGAGCAAGAAGTCACTCAGGCGCACTTCTCCAGAGGTCCGTATCAAGATGTCGGGATGAGGAGAGTGGTTGCTATAGAGGCACTTATCAAGCAAGGACTCGGAGACATCACTAGACGATCAGGAAACAGAGCACACGTCTCTTTTTGTAGTACTCTCTTGGTGAACTCCCATGCACAGCCTCCCAGTTTATAGGCCACTATCAAATACATTTGCTAGTGGGTCACCAGCCCCAAGAATGAATTTAAATCTGCACAACCACATACAATGCATTTTCTATGGGGTGAGGGCAACCCTGGGGATTGAACCCAGGGTCTTGGTACATGTACAAGTACTCTAACAGTATACATACTACATCATCCTAAGCCCTACATAGGATATTCATAACCCCTTTTTACAGATACAGAAAAGTGAAGCTCAGAGATAATTTGCCCAAACTCATTTACCTATAGGCCTAAAATCAGGTGTGTCCTCTAGACTGATGCTCTTCATCTGATGTTTTGCTTTTAAGAGGCACCCTATGACCTAGCAAGGTAAGGAAACACTATGCAACTGGGTTCTTTCTTTTTTAGAAAACTTAGGGCTAGGTGGTGGTGGCACACGCCTTTAATCCCAGCACTCAGGAGGCAGAAATAAGTGGGTCTCTGTGAGTTCGAGGCCAGCCTGGTCTACAGAGAGAGTTCAAGGACAGCCCAGGCTACAAAAGAAACCACTATTATGCTGGCTAGATTTTATCATTTGTAATAATAAGAAATTAGAATCATATCTACAGCACTATTGTTAGATTTCTTTATCCATTCCAGCCTTCCTATAAGGTAGTCAATATGCCAAATTCAAAGAACACAAGGCAGGTTTACAAACAATTTAAACTTAGAAAAATGACTTTTTTCTGCTTCTGTGTTCTCATCTTTAACATGAATGTAAGGGCTAGGGAGATGGCTCAGTATGTGAAACTGCTGGCTGTTGACTGGAGGCTGGATCTCCAGAAGCCTGCAAACACCAGATACAGTAAGTCAAGGGTCTATGTGGGGAGGCAGGCACAGCAGAACCTTTGAGAGACAGCTGGCTTGGCTTGCACACAGCAGAGACCCCTCCTCACGTGAGGTGGGAGGGTAAGGCTCCACACCTGAGGCTATCCTCTGACCTTCACTCATGCACTGCAGCATGCATAAAACTGTAACCACATGCATAAACTCAACCAATAAAATGGAGTAAAAATTGCATGTACATTATAGAGATGAGTATGGTGGCAAATGCCTAGAATTGCAGCATTTCATTCAGTAGGCAAAGCAGGAGGATCAAGAAATTGAGGTCAAGAGCACACATATTAAAACTGGAACAATGCTGGATAGTGTCATAACACCTTTAATCCCAGCACTTGGGAGGAGAGGCAGGAGGATCTCTGTGAGTTTGAGGCCAGCCTGATCTACAGAGTGAGTTCCAGGACAACCAGGGGTACGCAGAGAAAACCTTCCTTGAAAAACCAAATAATAATAATATTTTTTTTTTTGGTTTTTCGAGGCAGGGTTTCTCTGTGGCTTTGGAGGCTGTCCTGGAACTAGGTATTGTAGACCAGGCTGGTCTCGAACTCACAGAGATCCACCTGCCTCTGCCTCCCCAGTGCTGGTATTAAAGGCATGCGCCACCAACGCCCAGCTAATAATAATCAGCTAATAATAATACAGAAAATTCGAATGGCCCTTGTGCTTACTCAGTAAATGGTCACAACTATTATTTCATATAGAGAACAGAGGACCAAAGGAGGCTAAGCAGCCTATTCAAAGTAATAGTTTAAAGACCAACCTTACTCCTTCTCTAAGTCTGGGCTCAAACAACCTGTTAATCTTTCTTTTTCTTTCTTTGAGATAGTTTCTCTGTGTAGCCCTGGCTGTCCTGGAACTCCCTGGCTGTCCTGGAACTCGCCCTGTAGACCATCCTGACCTCCAATTCACAGAGATCCAACTGCTTCTGCTTCCCTAGTGCTGGGATTAAAGGCGTGAGCCACCACCATCTACAACCTGTCAATTTTATTTCTTAAAGAAAAAAAAAGCCCTTATCCTAATGAAAAAGGATTTGGATGATAGTATGAAGAACACAGAAAATTTATTTACTTAGTTGAACCTAATTCTAATAACCCTGATATAAATGCAGACTCGTGTCAATTTGGAATGGAGAGTACAGTAATAAACTCAGTATAGGCTGAGATCAAGCTGCAGGAGGGGTCAGCCTCTTGACCCTGGTGATTCTATCTACCCTGTTGACCTGATACCCCACAGAGGCAGGTTACAAAATGAGGATCAGGAAGACAGTTAGGAAACACTTCCTGGGATCAGGAAGACAGTTAGGAAACACTTCCTGGGAGGTGAGCAAGATGCAAGGTAAGTGAATACTGAAGCATGGCGTGAGGTTAAAGCATGCTGCACTAGGAGTCAGATCAGAGTTCCTCACAGCAAGGAATATTAAATCTGCTTGTTAAATGACAGTATCCTTTCTAGCATAAATATTTTCCACCATCGATGACTTCAATTATTATTTTATACATAGAAGACTACAAGAAACATGAATCATAAAACATAACAAACAACTATGAAATTACTTCTAAGCTAGTTACCAATGACTTGCATCTACATATATATGTTCTCATGTTTTCTCTGTCTCTCCCTCTGTTTGAGGCTAGGAAGTGCTAGAAATTGAACCTAGGGTCTTCACATACCAGGTTCAAATCTATCCCCACCCCTGACAATTTGACTGCCTCCTATTCCCATCCACTTACCTAGGGTCTTAATTTCCCCAACAGCCAAGTTATAATCTACAACTTAATTTACCCTTCTAGAGCATTAGCCAACCTGTGCCCACCTCCTCCTGAATCTGTACTGACAAATTCCCTCTTTTGTGTCCTGTAATACAGACCATCCATTCTTCTTGTGAGTGCCTATCTGTCCTACAGGCTCGTGAGATGTTTCTCAGAGCTCCACCCTTGGCCTTCTACTCACAGAAGACTCTTTAGCTCCCTCTTGCCCTCCTCACTCCATCACCCTACAGATTACCTCCCTGCTGGGGTACCTGTGGTCCTAGACCACTGATCCAACATCTCTGTTCTATGACAAACCCAGAACCAAACTTTCGGCTGTTTTTTTTTTTTTTAATATTTTATTTATTTATTGTGTATACAGTCTTCTGCCTGCATGCCAGCAGAGGGCACCAGATATCACTCAAGGTGGTTGTGAGCCACCATGTGATTGACGGGAATTGAACTCAGGACCTCTGGAAGAACAGTAAGTGCTCTTAATCGCTGAGCCATCTCTCCAGCCCCACTTTCATCTGTTCTTTAATGGGATCCTGTCTAGGGTTCCCTGGCACAGTGAAGGCCACCAATGTCTACTGTTAAAATCAATGTGTCAAACATCCTGGATAACAGCCTTTCTCCAGAATCAGTTCATTGAGATCTCCTAATTCCTCCCTTTGTAGCTCAGTGCAGGCTGCTTTGTCCATTCCAGTACCATCACAATCCACGCTCCCTCCCAATGGCGTCTCATTATTCAGGAGTTGCTATAGCCAAGGCTCACCTCATAGCCCTGCCTTGTTCCCCTAGTTACCACTTCTTCCCTCTTACCATAAACCCTTGCACTACCGTGCACCAGCGGATCACCATTACAAGTTTGTTCATTTGTATCTTATTAATATGCCTGTTTCCTTACCAGCACTCCAAAACACAGAAGAAAAATAGATCTTTATATTCTCACCACTGTACCTCCTCATACAGTGCAATGTGCTTACCCAAACTGGGACTAGAAAAATGAATACAAGGCTACACCAGGCATAGTGGCACACATCCTGAATCCTGGCACATGGGAAACAGAGGCAGGCAGACCTGGTGACCCATGGTCTAAATTCCAACCAACCAGAGCCACTTATCGAGACCCTGTATGAAGACACAAAGAAAGAAAATTCTCTTTGTGTACTTTCTGAGGCTGGAGTCGGCTCAGTGGTTAAGAATGACTGTTACTCTGCCAGAGGACTGAGCTCGATTTCCAGCACCCACAGACAGTTCCAGCTCCAGGACATCTGATACCTTCTCTGACCTCTGAGGGTAACTGCATTCATGTGTACATTCCCCCATACAGACATACACACGTATACATATTAAAAAATAATCTTAAAAAACAAAACAGTACTTTCTCGGTAAGAATCAGTCATTTTTGTTTTTAAAGGGCCAACTGTCTTCTCATTTGTTCATCTGCTTTTCTTTTTCTTTTATGGTGCCGGAGATCAAACCTGAGGTTGTACACCTACTAAGCAAGTGCTCCACAACTGGACTACACCTCACTGTGATGACTTGACATTTTAGCTGTTCTGAGATAGGAGTCTCACTATGTTGTTTAGGCTGGTCCCAAACTTGCAAGTGTTTTAAGTAGAGGATTACAGGTTTGTGCCACTATGCCCAGCCCAATTTCATGATTTCTAATTCCCAGCCAATCATAATATACTAGAGAAAAGGAAATCAGAAAATTTCCTACATCCCAGGAGTTCATAAAAAAAAAAAAAAGACAGGGATTCTGAATTGTTGACTGACCTTGGATATGCTACTCTCAGTTTCCACATTTATAAAATGAAAAGAAGACTTGACTCTCCTATGAGTTCAACAGTAACCAGGGAACATAACATTGCTGCAATTATTTCTGCTTTTATTTTACTATTGCTATTAATCTATTAATATTATCAAATAATATATTAGTAACAACATTAGAAAGGCCAAATAAATTCCTCCATTCCTCCAAGCCTTATTAGATAGGATTCCACTACACTGGTAATGATTAAAAATTTGAGGCAGGCAGGGCGTTGGTGGCGCATGCCTTTAATCCCAGCACTCGGGAGGCAGAGGCAGGTGGATCTCTGTGAGTTCGAAGCCAGCCTGGTCTACAGAGTGAGTTCCAGGACAGCTTCCAAAGCCACAGAGAAACCTTGTCTCGAAAAACCAAAAAAAAAAAAAAAAAAAATTTTGAGGCAGAGGCAGGCAGATCTCTGTGAGTTCGAGGCCAACCTGGTCTATAGAGAGGGTTCCAGGACAGCCTCCAAAACAATACAGAGAAACCCTGTCTCAGAAAACAAAACAAAACAAAGAATTTCCCTTCCTTTCTCCCTATGGCCACCCCTCACACTACCTTAGTTGTGTGGTATGAAATTATAATATGAGGAACCTAAGAGAGTCTCCCCCACAATGCACACAGAGGACTGACTGGAGAAGTGTTAACAGGGGGCGGGGGTCATTTCTCACTGGAAGGGGCAGCCTTGGCAGCTGTTCGGCTGTTTGTCAGCAGTTTGCTGGTGTGTGGTCTACTCAGATGATCCTAACCTCTGTTTGGGGCAAATCTCCTAAATCTTCCCATGTACACCCTGACTTGAGCTCTGGTCAAGCACACGGCTCAGAACAGGTTTTAATCTTCAGTGCATCCGGGTTTCCCATGCTACACGGAAAGACAGCAGCAGGTACCTGGGTTCCAGCAGACCTTGCTCCACTCCCCAGGCCATCTCTTTCACGGCGTTGGTGATCTCATGACGGGATGTGTATGCAAAGCAGACATTGAGGAAACACCTAAGGATGGCGGAGCACAGTAACTCACCAAATGGGCAGCGGCTGACAGCTGGAGTCTGACTCCAGGGCAGTCATTCCCTGGAAGGGCACAGGCACTTCAGGTTCCCAGCATACTTTTGAAGGGTGAGATTGTGGGTTCTTTTAAGAGCTCTTGGAATAAACATGTTACTCATTTAATTAGATCAAAATAAAATGACCTTTTTTTAAAAAAAAAAAGATTTATTTATTATGTATACAATGTTCTCTGTGCACGTATGCCTGCAGGCCAGAAGAGGGCACCAGATCTCATTACAGATGGTTGTGAGCCACCATGCGGGTGCTGGGAATTGAACTCAGGACCTCTGGAAGAGCCGTCAGTGCTCTTAACTGCTGAGCCATCTCTCCAGCCCCAAAATGGCCTCTTATTGCCTCCCTATCCCTGCCCCCCTCTACTGACAACAAGCCCAGAAGATAGAAATCCATTGTGATATTAGTATAACATACGATAGAAGGAGACCAAATATAAAATAAAATCATTGCCAAACAATATTATTTCAAAGTCACACACAATGTTGTGTGGATTACTGAACCCTGTCCTCTAAATCTGTCCATGAACCAAAGAGTATGATAGAAAAGAGTCTTGAGTTAGGCGGTAGTAGGCCACGCCCCAGCATTTGGAAGGCAGAGGCAAGTGGATGTCTGAGTTTGAGGCCAGCCTGGTCTAGTTCCAGGACAGACAGGGCTGCACAGAGAAACTGTGAAAAACCAACCAAACAAATAAGAAAAGACTCTTAAAAGGCCTACAGACAAGGATTAGCATGGCTGGATTTCCTTTTTGGGGCAGGGTCTCTCCATATTGCCCAGGTTAGCCTCAAACTCTCAGAAATATGCCTGTTCTGCCTACTGAGTGGTGGAATTAAGAGTATGTACAACCATACCTGGCCTAGGACGGATGGATCTCTATCCCAACTCTTGTCAAGCTAAAGTATGTGTGGTGTGTCTGTGTGTGCATTTATAATTACACAAACACATTGGGGTGGGGTGGGGTGGGCAAGTGATGGGGGTGGGTTTGTAGTGAGTAGCTGGTCAGGCAGCTGGTCTCCTCTCTAGGTGCAAGAAGCATCACTAACTACTCCTTGGTGGTACTTAAGGGACAGCCTGAGAACTTACTTGTTGTAGTTCTTAGTAGCCTGTACAGCACGTGCAATCTTCTCCTGGAGGTCCAAGGGCAATAAATGCAGATCGCCTAAGACCCGGATACACACTCCATGCTTCTGTAGCTTCTCCCTGAGCAAGGAAAAAGGAGGCAGCATGTGACATGGTGCCTGATGAGCAGGAGGTACTTAGGCAAGAGCCAAGCAGCTGTCTGAGTGCTGTCTCATGCTAGGCACTGTTGTGTGTATTATTTCAGAACTCATGCCAATACTCAGAATAGTGATCTATAGCACTGAGGCATGGAGACAGTCCAAGGTCATTTCCAGTGTTGTATCTGACTTGACTAGATCTATCTGCCTTGAGAATATAAACTTTTGGCCACATGACACTACCTCAGCTGATCTTATGAAGAGTTGTATTATACACATTCAGTGACACCTGTCCCGTTCTAGCAAGCCAGTAAACTGCTCCAGGGCAGGGACTGCATTACTGATGACATCTGCTATACTCTGGTGAAATAAGATAATAATGACAGCTCAGAGTACATATAGGGTTAGATGGTGGCCAAATTACTCTGACCAACAAATTCAATCCCTGCACCATACTCTGAAGTACACACTCTAAGTTCCCCTTCACAGACAAGGAGACAGAGGCACAGAAGATTACAATGAGATCTGGTGCCCTCTTCTGGAATGCAGGCATATATGCAGGTAGAACATCAAATACATAATAAACAAATCTTTAAAAACAAACAAAACAAAAAAATCAATCAATAGTCTAATCAAAGCATAATTTGAATAATACCTAGATTTCAATTCAAGTACCCCCACTTTCGAAGATCCTGAATGTACTCCTGGCTTCTTTGAGCTCAGCCCCTATTTGTCTCTCAATCTCCCCCTACCTATAAGTAGGAGACAAACAGTCCTGCTACAGTCCCAGTCCTGGCAGGCTGGTAAAGCAGAAAGAGGTGCATGGCAATGCTTATTCTCAGAGAACAGAAGCAAGAAGTCCTTGAGGTTTACAGAGGAACTGCAAAGATCCTGGAGGAGCTAGGACTGATTTCCCAATATGGCTGTCACTAACTTACTGTGACCAGCCAATCTCTTCACAGGGATTTAATGTCCCAGCCAATAAATTCAGAAAGACTAGCAGTCCTGTCTTTCCTGTGTGTGCATATGGAGACCAGTGCATAACCCTGGGTGTCATCCTCCTGAGTAAGTTTCAGATAAAAGAGCCTGGGGGCTGGGGCCGGGGAGGGTTAGAGGCGGTGGAACGAGAGGTTTTCAGTCTGGCCATCATCTTACTGTTCTTCCATCAAGCAGGTGAACTTCTGTCGGGCTAGATCCAGCAGCCCGTCAACCTCGCTTTTGGAACGCTTGAAGTTCTCAATGCTGAAAGCATAGACAGTCACTTCTAGGATGCCCAGGTTCAAACACCAGCGTAGAGTCTGAGGGGAACAAAGATGAAGATCTAGGACACGGGAGGAACGGGGAGAGGCAAGCAAGAACCTGAAAAAACTAAGGCTGGCTATGGTGGCTTAGTTCTAAAATCCCAGGATTTAAAAAGCTGGGGCACAAGGATCAAGGCTAACCTAGACTACATAACAAGACCCTGTCTCAAAAAAAAAAAAAAAAAAAAAAAAAGAAAAGAAACAGAAGAAATTGATCTAGGCATGCTGGTGAACATTTTATAATCTGAGTACTGGGAGGTGAAAACAGGAAGATCATGAGTTTAAGGTCAGCCTGGACTACATCTTCAACTTGAGGCCGCCCTGGGCTGTAGGAAACAATATCTGAAAAAATAAACAAAGAAAAACTAAAAACTGATCTGTATTTTATCCCAAAGAGCTCTTCAGCAAGAACATAAAGTTTGAGGTTTCTAGCCAGTGACTCCATCGTGGACTCGTAATGAACTGTAGGCAATCATTAGCCTCTGTGGGTCTAGGTTTCTCTACTAGCAGAAAGGGACTACAGAGCCGGGTGTTGGTGGTGCACGCCTTTAATCCCAGCACTCAGGAGGCAGAGGCAGGTGGATCTCTGTGAGTTCGAGGCCAAACTGGTCTACAGAGCGAGTTCCAGGACAGCGTCCAAAACAATACAGAGAAACCCTGTCTCGAAAAAAAAACAATAAAAAAAAAGAAAGAAAAAGAAAAAAAAGAAAGGGACTACAGATCCATCCATCCTGACAGGATGGCTAAGACAATATAAAAGTGAGGCATTACTGCCCGGAACATAACAACTTGATGACTTCAGACCAAGCCTGGGAGATCGGAACAGAAGCAAAACTGGAGCACTGGGCAGCACTTCACAGTCAGCAAAAGGTTTTCCTGGGTTTCACTTTCCAGACAACTATTAGAAGTGGGCGGCTGCTGTCATGGTACTTTATACATGATGTATTAGTCAACTTTGAAAGCCGAACCACGTCAAAAGTTAACTTCTGGGAGCATCAACACAACACACTAAGAACTCTCAAGAAAACCCCAAGTTTAAGTCCAGCTTGGACACATAGGGAGGTGCTGTCTTTGTTTTTGATTTATTTTGTCTGTCTGTCTGTCTGTCTTTCTTTTTAAGACAGGGTTTCTCTGTGTAACTCTGTACCACTGGCTGTCCTGGAACTCACTTTGTGCTGGTATTGAACCCAGGGCTTTATTCATGCTAGGCAAATACTATACTCACTGACCTACATCCTCAACAGTTCTTTATTTATTTACTTTGACTTTTAAGAAATTTAGCCAGACTTGGTGGTGGTGGCGAATGCCTTTAATCCCAGCACCTGGGAGGCAGAGGCAGGCAGATCTCTGTGAGTTTGGGCCAGCCTGGTCTACACAGTGGCTTCCAAGCCAGCCAGGGTTACACAACAAAATTCTCTCTCAAAAATAAACAAGTATGCAAATTTTTGTGACTAGAATATAGGTAGAAAGGGAAAACAAAACCAAAATAGCCTGACAAGTATAGACTCATTAGAGTGGTACATGTAATTATAAAAGTTGATATTGAGGGTGTGTGTGTGTTTATGCCCAAAACAAAATGTGTATGGAGTTAGAGAATAAGTTGTCTGAGTTGGATCTCTCCTTTGACCACAGGTATTCCAAGGTCTGAACTCAGGTCATCAGAGTTGGTGGCTATTGCCCTTCCTTATTGACCCAGCAATTTCACAGATGTTAAGACATTTAGTAGTAGCTTAGATGAGACATACAATAAAACAAAACAATAAAACTAAAGGTAGGAAAAGACTGTGTTATTGGTCTAATATTCTGTGATGACAACAGTTTTGCCAATGCCACACCCACCTCCGCAAGCTTGTTGAAGCCCTGTGAGTGGCCCTCCTGCCGCTCCACCTGGCACTTCTTGGCATAGCGACGGTTTCCATCCATTATGAATGCAATATGTTTGGGCACTGGGCCAGCCTATAGAATAAGACCAATGATGAGTCAATTTAATTCTCTTTGGGAGAATGTATATCCTTAACTAATAGGTTTGAACAATCAGATAAAACCCCTGGGCTGGCAAGATGACTCACTGGATAAAGATGCTCCGTCAAGCCCAACCACCTGAGTTTGAGCCCCAGGACTGGTGCACATACAGAAAAAAAGAAAAATGAATCCTACAAGTTGTTCTCTGACCTCCATATGTATGCTGTGGCATGTATATGCTTCCATACAACATACATACACAGACTGATACACACATATATACACACAATAAATAAATGTCACTAACATACCTTAAGATAAAACCTGAGAAAGAGAACTTGGTATACTGTTTTTTGTTTTTGTTTGTTTGTTTTCTTGAGACACGGTTTCTCTTTGTAAGAGCCCTGGTTGTCCTAGAACTAGCCCTGTAGACCAGGCTAGCCTCAAACTCACAGTGATCCACCTACCTCTGCCTCCTGAGTGCTGGGATCAAAGGTGTACACCCCCAACCCCCCCCACTACCCCCCACCCCCGGCTGTCTTTCAATTGTAGAAAACAAAGCAGTTCACTATGCTTTTCCATCCATGCATGCTATACTTCTGTCATATGCATCCCCTGACCTTCTTGGCATCACTTCTTCTCCCTGCTCCCCTTCCACACTGCTAGTAGTCACCTTCTGCTTTAACTTCATGCCCCCACCATTCCCACATATGAGAGAAAACATGGGGAGTTAATTTTTTATGGGATGGGCTTATTTCATTTAACATGATGATTTCCAATTTCATTTTTTTATACACTGCATGCTTTCATTCTTCATGGATAAACAAATCATTACTGTGTATAAAAGGCACATTAAAAAAAATCCACCTCATAACTGAGAAGCATGTGGACTGATTTGGCAAGCGGGCTACTGCGAACAGTGAGTAATAACCCTGAGTGGGCAGGCGTCTGCAGAGGGGCTGGTTTTGATATTTTTGTGTACACAGGAATGACCTGGCTGAACCACATGGAAGGTCTACTGTTCCCTTTCTGAGGAACCTTCCTAGTGATTTTCAGGGACTAGACAACATTCCCACCAGCAGTGTGGAAGGATCCTTTGTCCATATATCCCTGCCAAAGCCTGCCTTTTCTTTAATTTTCTTGATGCCTGTCATTCTGTGTATGGTGAGACAAAATATTTTATTTTTTAATTTTATAACTGTATGTGTATGGATGTTTTGCCTGCATATAGGTCTGTACCATGTGTGAACCTGTGCTCCAGCATAAGAGGGTACCAGATTCCCTGAAACTGGAGTTATAGTGACCTTCCCTGTGGCTAGCACTGACAACTGAACCTGAGTCCTCTACAAGAGCAGCAACTGCTCTTAGCTCTGAACTATCCCTCCAGCCCTTTTGAACTTGATCTTAATGATATTTTATTTGTTTTGTTTTGTTCTTCAAGACAGGGTTAGGGTTCCTCTGTGTAGCCGCAGCTCTCCTGGAACTCACTCTGCAGACCAGGATGACCTCGAATCCAGAGATCCACGTGCCCTTGTCTCTAGGGTTCTAGGATTAATGGTGTGTGCCACCAATGCCCATCAAGTTTTGAGTTTTATTTACCTTGTAGCTATAGCTACTAAGCATTTTTTTCAGTACTCATTGTAATTATTTTAAATCCATTCAAATGATTTAACTCCTTTATTGACTCATAATTTGCTCCTTTTTTTTTTCAGTTGTTCGAGACAGGGTTTCTCTGTGTAGCTTTGGAGGCTGTCTTGGAACTTGCTCTGTAGACCAGGCTGGCCTGGAACTCACAGAGATCTACCTGCCTCTGCCTACCGAGTGCTGGGATTAAAGGCATGTACCACCAATGCCTGGTGGTCTCTAACTTTTTCAAAATCACATTTATTTGGTGTGTGTGTGTGTGTGTGTGTGTGTGTGTGTGTGTGTGTGTGTGTGTGTGTGCATGGGTGCTACAGTACTGATATGGAGGTCAGAGGACAACTTACAAATGAGTCAGTTCTCTCTTTCTGAAGTGTAGGTTATGGGGGTTGAACTCAGGTACTGCACTTAGTGGCAAGAGCCTTTATCCACTGAGCCATCTTCCCAGCTCAGCCCTCCACAGGCTTCTCTTGTCTTCTACATACAGCCTTTTCAAAAATCTAACTTTGATAAGCAGCTTGTATTTGCCAACACAAGGTTTTCATGCATAGTTTCGTGAGGAGAGAGTTTCCATTTTCTGGCCTGAGTATGATTGATTACCTGGCATTCATATGTGAGTGTATGGAGATACAATGCTTACTGACTTAAATTCACTGTTACACGCTGCTTGACCATCTGTAGAGGAAAAAAAAATGCCGGGCCGGTGGTGGTGCATGCCTTTAATCCCAGCACTCAGGAGGCAGAGGCCATCAAAGAAAATTAATTCAGTAGACAGTGTAAGGAAAAGTGGATGGGAACTCTAGAGTAGTGGTTCTCAACCTTCCTAATGCTGTGACCCTTTATTTAATACAGTTCCTCATGCTGTGATGACACCAACCAAAAAATTATTTCCATTGCTACGTCATAACTGCAGTTTTGCTAACGCTGTGATCACAATGCAAATATCTGATATGCAGGATATCTACCATGTAACCCCTGTGAAAGGGTCATTCAAACACCAATGGGGTTGTGACCCATAGGTTGGGAAAACTGCTCTAAGGAGATAGATTTCAGTTCACTCTCATTCATATCCCACCAGCCAGCTCTTCTGACATTCCCAAAGCCAAAATTTCAATTTTCCAGAAGGAAAATCTAACAGTCTATGCTGTACAATATTAAGAGATCCCGTTTCACCTTTAAAAAATAAGTCACTCCAACAATAAAGGCAAGAAATGTGGCCCTGCAGGCTACATTGTAATTGCGAGATTATCTCTTTGCTAAACTCCACTTAACAACAGAGATTGCTAAAATTTAATAATAAATTTTCACAAGATTCCCCAACTATCCAAAAGGTCAACTTGCCTTCTGGGCTACTGCTTACTTACCTTTATGATATTGGCGCAGAACCGCTCCCAAAGTGACAGCTCTCCTTCTTTGATCCATGACATAATTCTTGATATGTCAGAAATCACCCCAGAACAAAATGCCAATCAGATAACCTTGAATAAATGAGAGAGACGTCATCGTGCTTGCGATTAAATAGACCTGACTTACAGAGACGATGTTGGGGCTTTGGCAAGCGGCCAGCACCCGAATCCAGAGACACTGGTGATTTCATCTCTCAGGGCTGTACAAGCCAACAGGAAACCTTTCGGACAAGGTGGCTCCACCTTTTTTTTTTTCCTTCTTATGTGCACTGATTTCTTCGGACTATTCTGTCACATCATGGTGCCTACATCTTGGTCGATTCCCGCAACTTCCTCCTCTATTTTAACCCCGCAGGCCAGATCTCTCTCTGGGCTGACCAAGCACCATCCCCCATCGGCTGTCACACCTGTTACCTTAGTGGTCTTAGAGTCACTCCTCGGGAGGACCTTAATGCTTCCCGTGGCCGAATCCTCACCAAGCTTCCCTTCCCTCGGGACCCCCTGTTCACTCACTGGGCACCTAGGATGCCGCGGGAAGCGTTTTTCTACCGCTCCTGGGCGGCTCACGACGTGGCGCTGGAAGAACACGTCACTGCTGCGCGCTAGGACACACCTCCTCCGTCCCTGGTGGGTGGGGCCACGGCTTGCGCCTGCGGACTTCGGGGGAGCTCTTTCGAGTCGGCTATTGGAGAACGCTCCCTCGGGGACGTAGAAACAGCGACCTGGGAGGCCGAGGTCACGTGAGCTGGCGAGTTAAGATTCCCGCTGGGAACTCGTTGAGGCACCTGGAGGTCATCCTGCTCAGCCTCGGGTGCTGGGACTGTCACAGGACGGCCGCGGCGTGTGGAGTGGAAAGGGGGCCGGCTGCGGCACCTCAGAAATTAAAGTCTCTCTTTGGATGACTTTTTGGATGCTTATGTTTTGGGAGACACGGTAACATCGTGCTCTCGGCAATCCTCCAGCCTTGGTCTTGTAGATGTAAACCGTGCAGGGATGAACTGGGTTCCTTTTAAAGCTCTGCTACAATCTAGTCTTAACGGAAAATAGTGGCGCATTCTCACTGAACTCAGCATTCGGGAGACGGAGGCCAGAATTAGCTCATTTTCTCTGCTACATAGTAAATTTGAGACCAGCCTGGTCTGCACAGGACATTATCTCTTTAAAAAAATTAATGCATTTCTATTTACTGCCTTTTAGTGGTATTAATTGATCAGAAAGAGGTCCCTTTCTTTGGTCACTGTTTGGGCTAACTAAAGAGACCCAGAATTCATAATTTGCAGGTCCCCGAGATCTACATAATTTAAAAGCCAGAAAGGCTTTACTTCTAAAATAACTGGCCATTGAGCAGGGGAATAAAGCATAGGCGGTGCTCGCCTGTTATGCCAGAACTCCAGCACAAAGCATCATGGTGGCAGGAAATTCTGTTTAGGTGACCTAGAGTTTGAGGCTAAAATGAGCTTCGCTGGAAAACCCAGCCTCCAGACTAAATAGAAACGATTTTAAAAATAGACAAGACCGTAGTCAAGTAAGAAATCAAAGGCATTATTTGTATAGCAAATTTTGCATAACTTTTGGATACTGAACATAACAAAACTGGGGCTAGCAAGGACTTCATGAGACATGTCCTCAAATGTATTATCTATGACCTTTTAGTGATACTGATCAGGGAGAGGTTGTTACTTCTCAAAGCTTAAAAAAACTAAGTCCCTGAACTTTCCGTACCTGATACATTTGCTTCAAATCTAGTTACATCTGTGAAGGAATTTCAAAATCCCAGCGAACCCTTTTAGCTCATTTGCCCTACAGGCTCAATGACACTGGGCAAGAAAGAGATGCCAACGTTGTCCAGCTTTACCTGATAAAAGTGCAGTTTTAGCAGAAACGGGATTGATAACAAAGCTGTGGAGATGAACAACCCATTCGTCAGGTCTCACACTTCCATTCTTAAAGTTTCTGCTAATACGACTTTTCAAGACGCCCCGTGAGTCCCCTGATGCCTAGTGGTTAGGGTTGCTAGGTTTAACTTTTGGTGCAATTAGTTAAAGGGTCACAACCTCCCTGCTCTGCTAACAGTGTGAGGATTTATTTAATCCACTTTCTGTTAATGGTGAGGTTTCCCCCTGGTCAAGCCCCCCTCCCATCCCCATTAAAATCTTCCTCTCTTTGGAAACCATTTAAGCATTAGGAGAGCCAGCAAACTGTATCTCAAAATACTGGCTTACAGTCAGTAAAATCTCCCTTGGCCTCAATTTCCCCAGTCCTGTATGGTATTTTCCTTTTTGGGGTGTTGCAAGGGGTTAATTAGGACTTGTAAAGAGCTTTGAGGAGTAAAGGACAAAGTATTATGAGGGTCTCATGCCCTAAGCCCTGGCCCCGTCCTTTCATCCCAGCCAGTGGCATAGGCATCCCCATTCTTATGCATGCCAGGCCTCTAATCCCCTCTTGAATGTGGCAGCTTCCAAGGAAGGGACAAGAGGCCTTAACTAGAAACAAAAATCCAGTGTAATGAGGTGCTATCAGGGCTGAACTTTCAAGATTCGTCCCTAACAAAGAGGGAAGGGGAAAACATAATGGCCCTGTGACTTCCCAGTCCAAGGTGGGGATTATGAGAAAAGCATCCTAAATATTTGATGAGAGAACAGTTTGAGTACCAATAAGTCTTTATTTTCCCAGGGAAGAAGGAAAGGGAAAGTCAGCATGTGTTACAAAATGATTATACGATAGGAATATAAGTACCCGGGTACAGTAAAAATCAACCATGAAATAAACACCCCAGTGGTGGGGCCACCAAAGCCCAAGGGGGCTCAGTCTCCTGCAGTTCAGGACAGAGAAGGAAATCAGGGAAAGGACAGACAAGTACACACTTTCCCCACCCCCTTCCCCATAAATTCAAGATTTCTCACAAAGCTTTGGTTTCTAGCAGTAAACATGGAGTTACATTCGTCCGTCTCCTAGTAACAATCTTGTGGCCACTTTGACATAAGTTTCTTGCACCGGCATTAAGTTCCTGAGTGACTTGACTTATACATTCATATTCCCTTTTCTGGTCTTCAAATGGAAGGCCCCACAATTGCTTCTCTCTACCTAAGGGTCGTGGATTAAGTCAGTTTGATCCATCCAAAAGTGAATCACACTAAGAAATGGTCTTGCTAGGGAGAAGTGGCTCACCTGCCATCCCTGCACTGAGGAGGCTAAGGCAGGAGGACAGCCAGGAATCTGAGGCTACCCTGGGCTACAGAGTGAGACCCTGTCTCAAAACAACCAACCCAAACTCTTGACTGAGTTTGGGAACAAGGGGAGAGTGAGGTTCATGGATTCTTCAGAATTTCTATGTGGGTCATTCAAGAGTTGTACAGACACTCCAAGAAGTAAATGTAAGTTTTCTCATGAGGGAGAAGAGGGTAACATTGGAGCTGTTTTAAGGTCAGAAAGATGTAATCAGAATGGGAGACAGGGGAAGGAGAAGAGAAGGGGAGCCATGGTTCCAGAGGCTCACTTTGAGAAGGACCACACGTAGGTTTCAGATGCAGCCATCTGGTGCAGAACTTTCTGTCAAAGATGCTTTGGCTATTTTTCTCTCAATACAAAAAGTTTTGTAAACAATAAAACCCCAAAAGAACATGAAGACCAACACATTATATTTACACAACTAGAGCACCTAGCAACCGCCAACTCAGACAGTAAAGTCCTACAAAGGCCAGACAATACAATAACTAGGGGGGGCAGCATTTGGGGGAGACAAGAAACCAGGATCAGACACACACCACCCAATGTGTTCTATTGCATTTGTCCCGTTTCTACACAGTGAGGTAGGTTTGCGGTGATCTCACATGTAAACGAAACCCCTCTTTTTTCCTTTAGCTATTGACCACTGCAGCAGGGCGGGACACTTGCCAGAGGCCCACGCTCCAGGGATCTCTCTGGAAGCCAAGCTTATGAAAGGCTAGGATTTAAGTTTCCCGTCCCCATCCCTAGACAGCACAGTGTGGTATGGTAATAAGGGTGTTGGCCTTAAATTGTATCCTTACCAGGAGAACTCAGAGGCAGGATATGTTCTAGCACAAATGAGGCCCAAGGTTCAATCCCAGTATCTAAAAACAATCAAAACAAACAGAAAACCTCATCCTCATAAATTTGCATTAAAAAAAAAACCAACACACACTCGCACGCACACACGCACACTCACACCCTGCTGTGTATGGCAGGCTTCGACTAATCTGGTGAGATGGATTTGGGATGGAAAATTACTCTTGTGCCTTTCACCTGGCCCAGCCTTTTGACATCTCTCTCTGTACCATCTTTTCCTGTTTAGATTAATTCCCTATCTTTTGCAAAAAAAAAAAAAAAAAAAAAAAAGCCCGAGATCAAGTCACGGGTAGCCTAATTAAAACCTAGCCTCCTGTGAAACATTTTAAGGTGGACGGAGGTTTTAAGGACTATATGGCAGAAAAGCCATCTGTAATTGGCAAAAATGAGGTAGTTCAATAGGCTGTGCACTCCAAATGGTTGGTCTCCATGGTGATCAAAACAAAAAGTATTCCTGCTGTGCAGACCTGGAGCTGCTTGTGGACTTATCCCTGAGATTGCTCGTGTACCTGAGAACACAGTGCAGGAATGAGGGCCTTAGATTAAAATATACAAAAATACAAACTGATTATTTATATTAAGAAAAAAAAATTAAAACGCACAGATACGTCATTCGCACACAGATAGTGCAGTTGGCATCCTGGAGAAAGTGGGATCCAAGGTGCAGTTACCCAAGGGAGCAAATAAATTAAAAATCACATTGGCCCAGAACGTGCTGGGAGTGAGGTAGCAACAGCAGGTCTGCAACTGCCCCGTCCCCTCAACCACCCTCTGCCTGTCATCACAACCCGTTGCTAGATACTGATACCATTCCTGGCACCGCATCCCAGGACTGGGTTATGAACAAGCTAGATGTGAAAGAAACCTTGCCTGGCTCCTGAAGAATCCCTCCCACAGAACAGAGTAGCCTGTGGGGAGGGAGGGGTTAGGTTCATTAATGTGGTCTTACACTTGTTTCACACCCTGTCTGGCAAGTGGAACTATCACAGTCTTCTACAGAAGAACTTGCCTATCCCAGCCACTTTCAAAAGCATGTCGTTTTAGGTTAAAGCCTCAGCTAAAGCATACAAGTTCTAGGGTGGCTGTCCACAAAAGCCTTCACTTGCATTCACATAAGTATGGTTGGAGTTTCCATTGCCTCTCCCTTTCCCCCCACCAAGGGAAGGCAGGGTGATACTGGGAAACCCAGCCAGCTACCCACAAACCCACCCTATCCCCCACTTTCTCCACTCTGTCGATTGATGCCTCCTCCTTCAAGCTCCCCAATAGCAAAAGAACAGCCCCCGCTCCGGTGCCTCAATTCTGGGCTTCTGGGAGCAAGGCGGGGCTGTGGATCTCTTCTTCCTCCTCCCGGAAGTAGGCAGGCTTTCCCTGAGAAGTGGGGACCTGCTGGGCCTTCAGTGGACATGAGGCCACCATATGGTTGATGCTTTGGCAGAAGTGGCACTTCTTGGGCTGGGGTGGCAGCTTGCATTCCTTGGCATGATGGTCTAGGCCACCGCAGTTATAGCACCTGGCACAAGACAGAATGGTTAAAGGTGAGATAAAGCCACGTGAAGAACTTTGACCCCTCCTAAGGGGTCACACCCTCACCCAGGCTTACTGCTATAACCCTCCCCCCCTCCCTTTATGCCCTAGATCTAGAAGATGAAGAGAACCAGATAGATCCCAACTATGCAGTACAGCTTGAGTGCCGGATGAGACATCCCCTGGGCCTTCTGCAACAGCATTAAGTACTCCAACCACTGAACCATTTCGTCAAGCTTATTGATTCCTTTTCTTTTTTTTCACAAGACAGGGTTCCTCTGTGGCTTTGGAGACTGTCCTGCAACTAGCTTTTGTAGACCAGGTTGGTCTCAAACTCAGAGATTCGCCTGCCTCTGCCTCCCAGGTGCTGGGATTAAAGGCGGGCACCACCACCACTTCGCGATTTATTTTCAGTTGAGACAAGGTTCCAGTATATATTCCTGCCTGGGGCCTTCAACTGAAGCATGTACCACTAGACCTGCAAGGAATGATTCTCTCCAACCCCTTTCTTTCACAGGGTTTCTCGGCTGGTCTCTAACCCAGAGATCCACCTGCCTCTCCCAGGATTAAAGGCATGTGCCACCTCCAGACTAAGAAAAAAGTTTTAAAGCCAAATTAACCTCGTTAGAGATAAGGGGTTTTAAGCCCCATAGCAAAAGCGCAGGCACTAACCAATTGGTACGCTGGTAAAGGAACAGTAGATAATAACCGATACGTACCATCTCACTGAATCATTCACATATTCACGGTAGCCTTGCTTCTAAACGAAAGTCAGTATGGACAGCCAGTGAGTGTCAGTCACTCTTAGCAACAGGGGGCAAAGTGAGTTGCAAACCAACCATGACTGAATTGTCAAAGTTGAAATTATCTTTGGGAACCTGATGCGGTGGCACTTGAGTGGACACCATTCTTGGCAACTTACACAAGCTGCCTTCTGGGCCGTACCTGTCTCCTTTGGATCTTCGTTTCTGCGTGTTCTTCCCCTTTGGCCGCCGCTCACTCCCAATACAGAACACTCCACCAGGGCCAGTGACACGGATGGATTCCAGACCCTTGGCAGACTTCTTAAAGGTGAATTCTACTGCCTCACCCTCCTTGAGGCTTCGGAAGCCCTCCATGTGCAGCTTACTCTAGCAAAGGGAAACAGGATTTTACTATTTGTTTCTGTTACTACACCATAGAACAAGACCGCAAAGTAAGAGACAGCACTCCCATTTCACAAATGAGAAGAAAACTCAACTCAAGAACTGAGCATGGCTGAAAAGGGCACATACCTGTCACCCAATTATAGGATCACCATAAAAACAGCAAATCACCTCCATTCTTGGGAAATACATATTAAAATACACAAACATACTTAATGCTACATTTATGGTTACTCAGGTGGTATCATTGGGCCACATGTGGTAGTACAAGGCTTTAATCTCAGTACTTGGGAGGCAGAGGCAGATGGATCTGAGACAGGTAAGCCTGATCTATATATGAATTCTAGGTCAACCAGGACTATAGTGAGACCCTGTCTCTTCCCAAACCACTCCCCCACAAAAATAAATAACTGTATAGAGATAAGAATACAATAGAGGACAAAATGTTAATGGATGAATCTGGGGAAAGATTATAAAAGAATTTGTCTATTCCTATAACCTTCTTAAATTTGAAATCATGAAAATAATGTTACTAAAAATCAATTTCAGGGCAAGGACTAAAACAGAATGTCATGAAGAGATTCCAGGAATGTGAGAAGCTTGGAACTTGCTCTGTAGACCAGGCCGGCCTTAAACTCAGATTTGCCTGCCTCTGCCTCCCAAGTGCAGGGACTAAAGGCATTCACCATCATCCCACCACTGTCCAACTTAATGAAAATACACCTGAAGGAATTAAATACCGAGTTGCTAAGAAAAAGAATGGCAAGCCAGCATTATGACACAGCACTAATCTCAATGTTTGGGAGGGAGGCTAAGTAAGACAGGAGGGAGCCAAGTTCAAGGCCAGCATGGACTCCAAACAGAACAAAATGTAAAAAGTCAGACACAATCAGACAAACCTACAAAAAGCTACTACGTACTTAGGGGGAAAACCGTGCAAATGCAAGTTAGCCAGGTATGGTGGTACCTCTTCCCACCCCACTCAGAGGCATGGAGCTGTAGGCCAGCCTTGGCTACATAATTTCTTCAAGGCCAGAGCACATAGAATGACACATTTTAAAAGTTATTAGGGAGCTGGCAGGATGGGTCAGTGGGTAATGTCAGTTGCTGTCAATCCTGAAAAATTCAGTTCACTCTCCGGAACCCACGGGATTGAAGGATGTGGTCTTTTGACCACGTGTACACTATGGCATGTGAAAACAAAAGCCACCAACTTTTTTGTTATTCGTGCCATACTTTGGTACCTCATTTGGGTACATTTTTGGATGAATTAGTGACAAAGTATGGATCTCTGGTTTTGAGACAGGGTCTCAGTATGCACTCAGACATGTGTATTCCATGGCAATGAGGTAGGTTTTTGTTTATTTTTTGACAACTGTGTTGCCCAAACTGCCATAGCCTCTTCAACCGCTGGGACCACTTGTGCATGCCCAGCAACAGGCAAATAGATTGTAAATTATCTGATTTGGAATGATGGTAGTGAGTGGAAATAAAGATTTAGACCAATGTTTCTGGGAATACTGCATGCCCTACCTGAAACTTGAGAAACGCTGATAGGTACAGGCCGTTTGCAGAAATCCTGCCCCTTTAAAAAGGAGGGACACTAGTCATGGAGGAACCCAGAACCCCTACCACTTACAGGAGCCACCAGATCCACTGTTTATTAGTGCAGGTGACAGCTCTTCCTAGCCTTTCCCAGAACAGTCTTTACCACAGCTTAAACTAGAGCAAGAGATTCAGGAAGGGATTACATCAACAAGGAAATCACCCTAGCACATGGGACTCAATGGTAGAGTGCCTATGTAGCATTCCATGGCTCTCTCTTCCCCAGAAAGAAAAAGTAAATGATCCACACAGGATTGGTGGTGCTGCATTCCTTTGACCCCAGCAGAGGCAGTGTATGTGAGGCCTGCCTGCCAACACACACACACACACACACACACAGCAAAGAAAAAAAAGGGGATCACTGCACCTGGCCAGGACTACCTGAGAGAGCATTAACAAGTTCCACTAGTATTCCAGTTGGTAGAATATTTCACAATAGGGCTCTAGAAAAAAAAATACCAACTATTTATTAGCCAGGTGGGACACAAATTCTTCAATCATTCTAACTTCTGGGGTTCTTTGGGGGGATTGTTTTGTGTAGCCCTGGCAGTCCTAGAACTCACTCTGTAGATTAGCCTGGCCTCCAGATCTCCACAGAGATCCTCCTGCCTCTGCTAAAGGTATGTGATACCACCACTAACGTAACTTTTGTTTTCATTTAGGGGCTTTACACAAAACTTTCATCAAGGGTGTTGGTGAAGAGCACAGATTTGGGCACCATCTCCATTCTCTAAGCTCATAAATTAGGCCTTAAGACTCCTCAGAAAAATAGATAGGCACTGGTTTTCTCCTTGCTTTTTCTTGCCTTCTTAATTTTTTTTTTGAGACAGGGTCTCACTATGTAGCCTTGGTTGGTCTAGAACTCAGAGATCATTTATCTTTTTAAGTGGTGTATATCCTTCTATGAAGTCCAGACTGGCCTTGATCTGGAAATCTTTCCCTTTAGCCTCCAAAATGCTGGAATAACAGATATAGGTCCATAGTGGACATCTTAAAAGCACAGACTCTGATAGGCATGGACTTACTAAGCTTGCAGTACAACACTTCATGATTATTTGTAATTGTATCACAGAAATATTCCCAAGACACATCCTTTTACTTTTTTTTATAAAGGGTGCTTTGGACTGAACCAAAGCTATACTCGTGTGCATTAAGCACACCCAACCCAGATTCCCCCTACTGTTCAGGAACACGCAGGGTGTAGGGACTTCCTAACTGCCTCCGTTTGATGTGAGCAAGGAGGTAAAACCTTAAAAGGAAATAAAAGTAGTAGTATTCAAAAGAATTCACCTCTCTGCCCCCACTGCACTGAAACCATCCTAAAACCAAGAGGAGCCAGACCACCTGCCTTCTTTCTCCCCAGGCAATTCCAGAGGGTCTCTCCATGGTCCAGCTGTGATCCAGCAGATTAGTGGTTAAGACCAGACCTGAGTGGAGGAGCCCTGTCCCTCCTTACTCATTTGTAAATTGGAGTATATGCTGATTTTATGGTGATCCTGTGAGGTTTTACACGTGAAAAGTAGTTAACACTTCACCAGCCATGTAAAATCCTCAGGGAGGGCCAATTATCTTCCTTTCAGGCTAGATGGAGGCAGGGTACCAGTAAGAGCCAAGTGTTGGGATGCTCAGATTATTTTACTACTAACCACTCTTGGGAACTCAAAAAAACAAAAACAACCCAGGCCCCCTCTGAGGTCCAGTTTATTGAGAGCAACACCCTCCCTCCTCCACCAACTGTGAAACCATGGGGGACAGTATAAATGGGTAAGGCCATGAGATTGACTAAGCCCCTCAGCCCTTCCGCCACTAGAGATCTGCTTAAGACCGCCCCGGAGCACCTCCACATAAAGGCTAGGCAGGATTTAAACTGGTGGTCTCCAGGGGTGGCTGCCCATCCCCTCCCCCCACTCCTTTCTAAAACATAGTTTGAATTCTTCTCTTATCAGATAGGTAATCAGTGTGCAACCCCACCAAGCCAGACTCCCAGGGCCAGCATCTAAAAGGAGCCTGAAAATTCTTCAGCCACCCCCAACCACACACAAAGCAGGGCCCCGCCCCTCTCCCCATCCCCTCCAAAAAGAAAAGGCTCTGGGGGGAGGGGCATGGCCTGAGCTCCCCCAATAGAGCCCAGCCCCAGGGAACAAAGGGTTGACACTGGTTGGTTCTGGTGGTCGGATTCCTGGAGTTCCAAGGCACGGATCCCCCCAGGATGGCTCTCCTTCACCCTCCCCCACATTCAAACCCGACCAGTTCCTTCCTTCCTTCCTCTACACTACGGTCAGGGTGAGAGGACCAGCTTGGGGACCTCTTCTCCAGTCAGACCCCAGGAAGGGGAAGTTCGCTAGTCAACCCCCATCTTCCCTCCCGCTACCTCCAGGATGAACTGTAAAAAGGGTCCTTCCCTCAGCAGATAAATTTTTCAACAGGGAGGAGGGGCAGGAATCCCAAGTTCCTTTTCCAACCTGTTGAAGTCAGGTGAGCAGCCTGCTTGGGTCACTGCAGTTGGGGGTTGGGGGGGACTGACACTTAGTAACAGTTACAGCATTTCCTCCCTGGTGCTCCTCTGATCGGTTACAGTACTTCCTGGCTTCTGCGTCTTTTGACACTCGCCACCCACCCACTCCCACATCAAATACCCCACCCCAGAGTTCTATCCATGGGCCTCTTCAGCATCACACACGTTTCCCTGCTGCTCTTTGTGGGAGAATTTCATTGTACTCCAGCCACCCAACTGACCAGGACCAAAACTAGGGCTTCTCTCCTTTTCTCCAGCACCCTGGGACATTCCAGTTCTGGGTGACCCCATGAGTGTCTCTGACCAGTTCTGGATTTAGCAACCAAAATGCAGATCAGTGTTTACTTTAGACTTGCACAGGGTGCTAACACTCCTATCAAACCCATGTGATGTTAGAGCCAGAAAGTTCATAGATGCATTGGAGAGGAGAAATCTGACCAAAACCCTAACGAAGTGGAGACTAGCCAAGTATTTATTTGGTAAAGCCAGGCAGAGGGAGTGGCTGGGACAGAAGCTCCAAGGAGGCACTTCAGATAAAAATAAGCACCTTGATCATAGTATCAATAAAGGCTAAGTGTTGGGTTGACTGCCAAGAGCCTGGTTTGGCTAGCCAAGCAAGATCCAATAAGGCATGTCAAATACCACTTTTCCTAGATATGCTTCTAAACTAAGAATACCTTTTAATTTTAAAGATTCATCACAGTGGTGACACTGGTGTCAAGGCCTCACCCACGTCTCACTGCTAGAAGCAGTTTGGTACCATAAATGTCCCCAGTACAAGGTTAACTGCTATTCATTCACTTCTGCTCAGTGGTCCAGGTCAAATGCTCCTCTGCAGCTGTCCACCAGATGGTGCAGCAGCCTATGAGAGTGGCCTTGTGTGAGCACTGACATCTCAGCTCCTCAGCGTGATCTTTTGGTCCTTTCCACCCTCAATCAGCTGGAGTTGCAATACGGGACTTTCTTCCCATCCAACTGTGTTCCTAGGCCATGAGCATGGAGTAATAGGAATGAAAAGCTTCCTGGAATTTATACCAAAATCATAGAAAAAGCTGGTTTCTAACAGCAGCAGAAATCATGCTTAAAATATAAGTGCAATTATGAACATTCCTGCTCCAACCTGAAAGACTCGGACTACACAGGCCTGCTGCTCTTCATGCAGGTGAGTTTCTCAAAAAAAAGGTGTTTAAAACTCTCTGATCAGGCGAGACCAGCCTGGTCTACAAAAGCTAGTTCCAGGACAGCCTCCAAAGCCAGAGAAACCCTGTCTCAAAAAAACAAGAAACATAACAAAGAACCCTCTCTGATTAGGGATTCGTGAGCAAAGGCCATGCCCTGCACCCTAGACCAAGTCACTGAAAACCACGGAGACTGCAGGCAGCAATGTCACCATTCACAAGGCAGACGTTTTACCATATTGGAAGTTTTGCTTGGGATGATGGCAAAGCATTGTCCAGGATGTTCTCTGGAAGGATATCTTCTCATAAAGAAGAGGATGTCAAAATAACACACAGACTTCTTTATATCAGCTTTACAGGAAAACATATTTTTAGGCCACGTTTTCCCACTGCCATGGGAATGACAGGTAGTGCCCTGGGTTTAATGCCAAGACCATCTTTATTCTGGGGTTCAGAGTTGAGAGCTGGCAACATGTACCCCACAAGTACTCTCGGCACACTGTATGGTACCAGACCATGTCCTACAGTCCAGAAAGAAAGCGTCTTCATGTACAGTCTTCCCTCTGTCCTCTGGTGGGAGACACGCAGTCTACCCTGATCCTCCATATCTCACTGTTTCCATTTCTACATTCATTCATTTTGGTTTTTTTTTTTTTTTTTGGTTTTTCGAGACAGGGTTTCTCTGTATTGTTTTGGAGGCTGTTCTAGAACTTGCTCTGTAGATCAGGCTGGCCTCGAATTCAGAGGCCTGCCTCTGCCTCCAGAGTGCTGGGATTAAAGCATGTGCCACCAAGGCCCGGCTCCACATTCATTAATTTAGAACAAGAATGTACTATTAAAAAAAGAAAAATCACCCACAGCACAGAGAAACCCTGTCTCGAAAAACCAAAAAAAAAAAAAATCACCCACAGCAAAGCTCTGCTCTGTAAAGTACATTCACATTGGTGGTACAGTGTTATAATCCAGGAAGGCAACCCAGCTGTCCTGTCAGACCTTCAGGTATGTTCTGAAAGTCCAAGCCATTGTGGCTTAAGCAGTTTTAGCTTCAATTTTTGCGTCAGTGTTGAATTTTTGTTCAAACCCAACTTAGTTCTTTATAGTCTTTGCTTGTAAGCCAAAAAGTCAATAAACAGTCATCTGGGCCAGATGGTGGTTGTGCACATCTGTAATCCCTGCACTGGGGATACAGAGGTAGGAGGATCAAGGCCAGCCTGTGCTACAAAAGACCCTGTCTTAAAAACAAAAACTGTTATTTCCTACTTTCGATGAATCTTGGTGGCCTATATTTGGAGCCACAGAAAACCAGAGTTAAGCCAACACTTAAAAGTGGTCAGCAACTTCTAATAATTTTGATGAATATCTTATGGGGGGGGTTTCGAGACAGGGTTTCTCTGTGGCTTTGGAGACAGTCCTAGAACTAGTTCTCGTAGACCAGGCTGGTCTCAAACTCAGAGATCTGCCTGTCTCTGCCTCTGGAGTGCTGGGATTAAAGGTGTGTGTACCACCAGCACCCAGCTTAGATGAATACCTTGCTGTTTCTCAATTAGAAGTGATTCTGCCTTCAAGAGACATTTGGAAAGACAGGAGACATTTGGAAAGACACAAGACATTTTGGTTTTTACAATTAATCCCAGACACAGATTTCAAGATCTAAAAAGACTCATGGCTAATTATACCGGGTATCAGAGACACCTGGGTCATACATAGCCCCTCAAGCTTGGCCTACTCTTCCACTGGGGCCAGAATGAAGTATATGCAAATCAGACACTGGAGAGGCCAAAGCAAAGGTGTGTCACCCAATGATAGGTCAGTTTGGCTAGAGTGACTTCCAGGCTTGCCTGCACTACAAGTCAGTGTAAGGCGGTGCCTCAAAACACAGAAGTGTGTGGATTGACTCAATCTTTAATAGGGTGCAGGGAACCTTATCACTTCAATGTTGGAAGGGTTTTCCCTGATCCCCTCCCTTTCCATGGCATGACAAATGTCATCTTGAGACAATTTCTTCCCTTCCATCCCATCCTACCCCATCACCAGAAGAAAAAATTTTGTTAAAGACTTCTTACCCTCTCTACCTCATGAACACTCTTTCTGAAGAGAACAAGTTTTAGAGATTACCCAGTGTCTACACTGTTCCTCCAGCACAGAGGAACTCAGGCCACCAGCCTAAATTATGCCAGAGTATGGCCCAACCCAACCACCATCATCAGCTGTGGTAACACACCAACTACAGTGTGGAGAAAGTGGTGGTTAGGGAGGAAACGTTTTCAAATATGGGTGCCAGCCAGGAGCCTTGGCATGGGCCTTTCATCCCCAATCCAGGCAGAGGTAGGCAGATCTCCAGTTAGAGGACAGCCTGGTCTACAGAACAAATTCCAGGCCAGCCACAGTTAGACAGTGAGGTTCTGTCTCAAAAACAGAAAGAAAATAGAAAACCAAAAACTTCAATTTTGGGCTGGTGGGCATAGATCTCCAAGCTAGCAAGTATTGAAGATTGTTGCTTTCTTCCAGTGATGTCTTATAGCTTTCAAATTGCTATGGATCCTAAGGTTAAGTCTGAGGCACAGCTCTCCAATCTGTTCTACTACCAAGGAACCTCAGAGCAAAGGGTACATACTGCTTAGTGTCTTCCTACTTAAGTCTTCGGAAGAAGTCCAGATAGCTTTATACCTACTTTATATCCCAGCCTCCCAAAATTGGGAAGGCTGCTGGGACAACTCCAGACCAGGAAAGATTCTAATCTGTGATCGGATAAATGAAGAGTAGGGAAGCTTGCCACCCGCCGAGGAGAGCCATTCAAAGCTGGTTCCTGTAATAAAGTGACTTAATAGATCTAAAGAGGCCAATTCCCTTCTCTCTCACAATTACTTCCTGTGGGTTATCATTCACATATGTAAATGAGATGGGGCACAAAGCCACCATCCAGAAACCAGCAATCTGATGGTAGTGATGGGGGGGGGTTTCAAGAAAGTAGCCAAAGGTACTGTTGCAGGTCTCTTAAACACGTGTTCCTGAAGCCCAATGACACCAACAGCAATGAGCTGGTCCCAAAATTCCTTCAACCCAAATCTACCTAGTTGCCCCTCCTCAACACCCTGACTGGAGGGTAGTTAAGTGTTCAGCCTTCACAGCAGCCTCCAGCCTCCAACCAGTCGATCCAGCATCTCCTTCCCCACCCCTCCCCCAAGAACGCCATCCCTGAGGCTCCAACTCTTAATCCCCACATCCTCCTTTCCCCTCCCCCACAGCTCCTAAAGCTAACCTCCCTGAAGTAACCCCTCCCTGCCCGGACCGGGTGTCAAGCTCCAGGGCCAGAGATTAGCAATTTCTTCTTTCCCGGTCATGCCTTAACCACCAAATGTGGAAGGGGGAGTAGCAGGAACCTCCTTCCCACCGAGGCGCGGGGACCACTTGAACCTACATAGGATGTTGAGAGGGTAAGGCGAGTTAACAGTGAAGCCTGAAGGCTCTACTCCCTTCCTTGCTCAGGGTTAGGAATGTTAGGGACAGCAGTCAATGGCTGTCTGGGGCCATAAATGCCAAGCCGAGGAGAATAGGACAAGAGGCCAGCCTCCTTTCCACCGCCTGTCCCCTCGACACTGAATCTCACTCCCCACTGCGCAGCCTTCTTTAACTGAGAACTTGGGATTGCACAGACCCAAGTCTCCTAGACTGGCCCAGCCAGGAATGAAGGCCTGGGCTCTTACGGTTTTCCCTCCTGGCAGGACCTGGTGGACAGCAGAGGTGCCCGCCAGTCCTGAACTGAAATCCAGCCCTCTAGAGCTTTTCAGCCCACACATTGATCCTTCCGGGATCTGCCAAATCTATACAGGACCTGGCTTTTTGGGTGGCCACCTGACTGAGGTCTGCACTTAAGACAGAGGAAGGGCCTGACCTCGCAGGTTCATACCCGTGGGTAGGGGTGGCAAATTACCCACACTCTCCTGCCCTGTAAACTATATTCAGAACTCCAGGCGCTAGCGCCCGGCTCAGACCCTGCATGTGCTTCCCTGATCGGCCTGCTCGCCCTCCCCCACCGGCAAGCACAATACAACCTTAGTTTCTGCCACATGGGGTCACCTCCCTGCCCCCTGCTCCCTTCCCAGGGGAAAGAGGTAATAGACACGTGGTAAGCCGGAGGGGTTCCCGGAAGGGGGCGGGGAGGGGGTGCTGGTAATCAGTGGTGCCTCCTACTTGGTCCACTGTAGTTATTCAAACTCAAAATTGGGGTGTCCCAGCAGATAGGGACGCACAATGAGGGTCCTTTATCTCCTCCAATCCAACAGGAGCGACCATCGCCAAGCCCATATATGTAACTCCCAATTTTCCTTTTTCCTAGCTAAGTTACCAGAATCATTCTCACCTGGTGCACAAAGACGTCCACCGGGGGGTCGAGCGCGACCCCGGCGCGGGCGGTCATGGACAGGAAGCCGAACCCCATGCGCACGTTGAACCACTTACAGATGCCGGCCCCGTGCAGCAGCTGCGGCTCGTCTGCGGCCCGGGCCGCGTCAGCCGGCGCCTCCTCGGGCGCCTTCTCCGCTGCCTTGGCGCAGCCACCTGGAGACAGGGAGGGCCAGGTGATCAGCTGGGGGCCAAGCAATTACAGGGCCCTCTCTGGAACCCATCCGGGAGATCTCGGTGTTGAGCCCGTGGGAAGACACCCAGAAGGAGGCAGCTACTAAACAGCTGGTAAGAAGAAACCTGTCCTGGCTGCCTCCCCAAGCTTACACCGAGGATGCCGATGCCCCGAAAGTTTTGCTTGTCTTCCCACAACGTGTTGCCCGTGCACACGCGGCGGGACAGGCCCCTCCTCTTCTCTCCCTCCGCCCCCACGGGCTCGGCGCACAAGCCACTGGAACACCAGGGTTCCCTGCTCCAGAGACGGCCCCAAGAAGCAGGAGGCCGCAGGGACTTGGGGTCCCGCGGACAAGTCCGTGGGACACTTTCCCACCTCCCTTCTAGTTAGCTCTTGGGCGCCCGGCACCCTAAGGTGTGCCCGCTAAATCGCAAGCTCGAACCTGCAAACTGCTGGTTGGACACCGAGCCCATGGTCGTCGGCTGAGCCCGTGGCCCCGGGCCCCAGGTCGGGCGGCTGCTGGCCCCAGAGAAGTCCGGAGGCAAAGGGGTGGTTCGGAGAAGAGGCTGCTACATCTTCCCCCCGCACAATAGCGGTGGGAGGGCCCACGGCTTTTCAAAGGCTCCCAAATTCTAAAAGACAATGACCCAACCCCCCGCGGGCAGCCCCCTCCCCTCCCCTCTCTCCTTACCCCTCCCTTTCCCTCCGGCTCTGGCTCCCGCCCTCCCCCACCTCTCTGGTCTCTGACACCTCTGGGGTGTCCCTTCCCAGAACCTTGAGATTTGACACCCCCTCCCCATGCACACATCTGGAGATAAGGGGTCTTTTGCCCTAGAAGTCTTGAGTACCCCAGAATTTGGGATTCTGCACTTTGAGGACTCAATACGGGTACCCAATGCAGACACAGGTGGGGGACCTGAGAGGGGGGCAGTTTTATAACCACGTGACTACACACACACACACACACACACACACACACACACCACACCACCCCCACCCCCCGGGCAGATAATTATACATTCCAGAGAGTTGGGGGAGGGAGGTGTGAGCCTGGTGGCGCCGTCCAATCAGAAACACAAACCACCTGTCAAGGGAGAAATGGATGAGCCCTCCCCCTCCCCCGGCCCCTCAGCGCCCCTCCCCCCTTCCCCCTCAGGCCTCGGAGCTGACCCGGCTGCTTGTCGCTGACCTGCTCTCACCCCCCCACCCCCGTGTGCTTAGATAGACCTGGAGTTCTGGACACTAGGAAGCCAGGATAGGGGTGCAGGGGAGCGGCTGGAGACCCCGCAGAGCAGATCTGTGTTGACCTAGGCGCTGCCCCTCAAACTCGGTCTGCCTCTGACTACAGCTAGATGTCTCCATCTCCAAGTCTTAACATCAGTTTCGCTGGGTTAGTCCCAATCAGAAACAAGCTCCTTGTTGATTCTTCGCTAAGAATCCTTTGCTTCCTCCAAGCCTGCACTAAAGTTGGTCCCAGGTAGAGAGCTTCCTGGGAGAGCAGGGGGAACCCTGGAGGAGCGCAGCTCTGTGATAGCTGCTTCTCATTCTGTCCGCCGCGTCCCGTCCTGTCCCACTCCTTGCTGGCAGAGGGCAACAGATTGTGAGTGGAGGCACTTCCTCCAGTACCCGGGACCCTCTGAGTCCCAGACCCTCCTGTTCTCAGTCACCATCCTAAATTGCGCTACCCTCCGGGTAGTGTGGCTGGTGGAAGGACTGGATGGGTAGAGAGGTTTCTCATTTGAAGAGGTAAACTCCCTACTAGAAGATAAAGAGGGTGGACCGCAGGGGGGGTTGGCCGCTGCCCTGGTCAGAGATGGACAATGGCCCGGGGCTCAGTGCACGGCCCAGGCCCTGCCCCTTCACTTCCGGTGCTCAGTTCAAACTGGACAATGCCAGCTCCGGTCAGTTCCCCTCCCCCACGACTACAACCCATTTAAAGGGACAGAGTCTGCTTTCAGGGGCATCCGCTTACCCTGATTTCAGGCTCCTCCACAAATGTGTAGAATCTCTTGTGGTTCACACGCTGCAGCTGTGCAAGTGTCGGTGAGCGCTCGTGAGCACGTGTGTATCTGAGGAAGAGAAAACAGATGATGTGATAGGAAACGGAAGGTGGGCAGGAGAATCAGTGACTGTGAATATTTCCTACCAAGTGCTTTGCACGAGACTAAAGTTTTCAGCGTAAAATGTATGAGACAGGACTTTAGGAGTTAAAAAAAAAAAGACTATGGTGAGCCTTCTGTTACTTAGCTGAAAAAAAATGTTAAGTATCATTAACAGTGCCCTATTCCCAACTGGGGACTTTTGTAAGATCTTTTCAAAGTTCTCCAAGTGTAACAGCCAAAGCCATTTTATTTGCTTAACCCGTTCCCGTTAGGTAGCGCCTTTACAATGACTGTTCCCTGAACCTCTGCTCCTGAAGTCCAGGAGTAGGTGGCTGAGATCTTCTGAAGGGAAGTAGAACCAGGTGAGCGCTCAGGCTTCTCTTGGTCCGACTTCAACGCGGTTGAGTTTCCCCGCAGGCTCGATCAGCCGCTCTGTCCAGGGTCCTGAGGAAGCCATTGCTCTGTCCCTGGTGCTGAAACGGCCACGCACTCCTCCTTTCAAATTTCCTGCCTTGAGAACTTCCTGCTTTCTCACCTCCAAGTCCTTCCCAGAAAGCCTGATTTTTTTCCCCAATGTCTCCTGATAAAAATAACACAAATAGCTTTATTTTTGTTTGTTTTTTTTCGAGACAGGGTGTCTTTGTGTAACAGCTCTGGCTGTCCCGGAACTTGCTGTGTAAACCAGGCCCACCTCCAGCTTGAAGAGATCCAAATACCTCTGTCTCCCCAGTGCTGGGATTAAAGGCGTGCGCCTGACTCTATTTTTGCTTTTTATTTTTATTTATTTATTTATGGTTTTTCAAGACAGGGTTTCTCTGTATTGCTTTGGAGGCTGTCCTGGAACTGGCTCTGTAGACCAGGTTGGCCTGGAACTCACAGAGATCCGCCTGCCTCTGCCTCCCGAGTGCTGGGATTAAAGACGTGGGCCACCAACGCCCGGCCTCTTTTTGCTTTTTATTAAGACACGGCACACAATGGCCTCAATCACACTACAGTCCTCCTGCCTCTGCCTCCTTAGAACTGTGATTATAGGTGTGTGTCATCTTGCCTGGCTAAATCTTTCTTTCTTTTTCAATTTATTTTATTATATTTTTATTTATGCATATGAGTATCTGTATGACATGTGTGTACAACTGTACTCAAGAGCCATAAGATGATGCTGGGTCCCCTGCAGCTGAAGTTACAGATAGTTGTTAGTCATGTGGGTTCTGGGTTCTAGCCCTGAATACTGAACTCATCTTTAGAAAAAAAAAAGTTCAGGCCTATTCATGTGATCATGAAGAAAGAAAGATAATATCTTTGAATATAATATATTATTTACTAATAATTTTGAATTAGTTCCATTACTGAAAAGCACTTTTAAAAAAGATTTATTTATTTATTTATTTATTTATTATGTATACAGCGTTCTGCCTCCATGCCAGAAGAGGGCACCAGATCTCATTATAGATGAATGTGAGCTACCATATGGTTGCTGGGAATTGAACTCAGGACCTCTGGAAGAGCATTTAGAGCTCTTAATCTCTGAGCCATCTCTGCAGCCCGAAAAGCACTTTTTGTTTTTTGTTTTTGTTTTTTCCAAGACAGGGTTTCACTGTGTAACTGTCCTGCCTGTCCTGGAACACTCTCTATAGAGCAGGCTGGCCTTGAACTCACAGAGATCTGCCTCCCGAGTGCTGGAACTGAAGGCGTGTGCCACCACCACCTGGTTGAAAAGCACTTTTTAATTGCTGTTTTGAAATGGGGTCCCCTAGCCCATGCTGTCCTCAGACAGACGATATAGGCAAGAATGACTGTGAAGGCCTAATTTTTGCCTCCATCCCCCAAGTGCTGAGATTGCAAGCATGCACCACCACACCCACCTCTGTGCCTTCCTCAGAGCACAGGTGCACTTGGATTGCCCATATTTGTTACAACTCTGTGATCCGGGGCAACTTTCTTAAGCTCTGTGTGCTTCAGTTTCTTTCTCTGTCCAGTGGAGATAATGAGACTACCTTAGTGTTCAGAGATGCTGTGAGAATAAAGGATAGGGATGAGGTATTCCAGGAAAATGTTTTCAAAATGGTACCTGACACATAGTTTTTTTAAAAAAATTTATTTATTATGAATACAACATCTTGCCTCCATGTATGCCTGCACGCCAGAAGAAAGCACCAGATCTCATTACAGATGGTTGTGAGCCACCATGTGGTTGCTGGGAATTGAACTCAGGACCTCTGGAAGAGCAGTCAGTGCTCTTAACCTCTGAGCCATCTCTGCAGCCCGACACATAGTTTTTAATCACACGTCATTACTATTATGACGGGGATGCAGCTCAGTTGGTAGAATGTCTATCTAGGATGCACAAGGCCCTGAGTTTGACCCTAGAGTCAGGACCTGGACCATACACAGGACCTCATAAAGCTGAGAAGATGGCTCAGCCGTTCATGGCACCTGCTACTCTTCCAGAGGACTGGAGTTCAATTCCAAGCACCCACATAGGATTCACAGCCATCGTTAACTCTAGCCCCAGGGCATCCAACACCCTCCTCTGGCATCTGCTGGCACTGGGCACACTTGCGGTACACAGACATACATTCAGGCAAAATACCCATACGTCAAATAAATAAGTAAAATTTAAAATCCTAACTCTGATAAAACATGCTCACGCCGGGTGTTATTAGTGTACACCTGTAGCACATTCCTTTAATCCTAGCACTCAGGAGGCAGAGGCAGGAAGATCTCTGAGTTCCAGGACAGCCTCCAAAACAATACAGAGAAACCCTGTCTTGAAAAAAAAACAAAAAGAAAAACAAAATAAAAAAACAAAACAAAACAAGCTCACTACTCTGTTTTATAAAGCAGTTACGATATTATTTTACACTCACAGGGATTAGGTACATCACTGCCCTACATCTGTAATGCTAGATGATACAATTTAAAAATCCATGTGTTTCTTTCCCCAAACTTCTTATTACCTAAGGAAGTACTTGGGCTGCGAATTCACCCAGGAAGAGTTTCCTAAGCAGGCTATTATTTTTCATTGTTGTGAGTAGGTTGGTTGGCTTTTTGAGACAGGATCACTCTCTATAGCCCATGCTTTCGTGAAACTCATTCAGTAACTCAGGCTGACCTCATACTCATGTCAATCCTCCTGCCTCAGCATCATGAGTGCTAGAATTACAGGTATGAGCCATCACACCAAGCCTGAATAGATTTTAATTGAATAAGGCGCATTATCAAAATACTTCTAATTCTCATTTTCCTTTATACCTTTTTAAATTCTATTTCCCCAACAACTCTGAATGTAAAGCCCTGGCCATCTGCTAACATGAATGATAGTGTGTCCTGGAGAAAACTATTCCCCCAGTGTGTTCCCCAAGATACCTGTCTCACCAGCTGTATACACACACACACACACACACGCACGCACGCACGCACGCACGCACGCAAGCAAGCAAGCGCCTGTCATGTGTGTGTATCTGTAATCTCAGTACCTGAGACA